CTACAGTTACGTCTTGGAGTCACTGGCGATGCGTTATCATGGTTTCAATCGTATCTCACAGGACGCAAGCAATCAGTTTTCATCGATGGGGTAAGGCCTGAGAGCAGAGAATTAAGGTTTGGAGTGCCACAAGGCTCAGTCCTAGGCCCAATCCTGTTCACTGTATATACCATACCCGTTGGTGATATAGCCCGAGCCCACAATCTCAGCTATCATCTCTATGCTGATGACACTCAGCTATATCACGGATTCAAGCCACAAACTGCATCTTCTGTACATAATACCATGCAGGCAATAACATATTGCATAGCTGAGATCAAATGTTGGTTGAACAGTAATTTTCTGAAATTGAACGATGACAAAACTGAGATTCTCATCATCAGCTCCAAACAGACAAAATCAAAGTTCAAGGTCCCTGGAGTTAGAATTGGAGACACGTTTGTTCAACCAGAAAGCCATGCTCGAAATCTAGGTGTCATCTTTGACTCAACATTAAGCATGGAAAATCACGTCAGTAACATCTGCAAATCTGCATATTTCCACCTAAGGAACATCAGACAGATTAGCAGGTACGTCAGTAAAATGCCTAACCCATGCATTTGTCTAGACTACTGTAACAGTCTACTCTATGGAATACAGCAGAAGTACATGGACAAGTTACAGCGTGTTCAAAACACTGCTGCCAGGCTCATAACACGCACACATATGCATGTGCACATAACACCAGTCCTGAAGGACTTACATTGGCTCCCTGTAAAAGACAGAGTTGTATTCAAACTTCTTGTGTTTGTTTACAAGTCCATTAATGGGCTTGCTCCATTCTATCTCCAGGAACTAGTCAACATTCACAAGCCTGGAAGGTCACGCAGATCAGCAAGTCAGCAAGCTCAGATGTTCCATCTGTCCAAACCAAAACATACGGGGACAGAACATTTAGCAGAGCGGGCGCTGTACTCTGGAATGGATTACCTGAAGATGTCAGAAAATCGGAAAATATCAACAGTTTCCGATCTTGTCTCAAAACCATCCTCTTCAAACGAGCATTCGACTAAGCGCACATGAGCAGGACTCTGGATAGGTACCGCTATACAAATGTCAAATTTAATTTTGATTTGACTTTTGGGAGAGACAATTTGTCTATTAGGTTACTTTTGGGAGAGACAATGTGTCTATTAGGTTACTTTTGGCATATTTAGATAAATAAAACTCGGGTATAGCGGTTTTCTCAACAGTAGTTTTTACAACGAACTACTTAATCGCTTTTTTATGAATTACAAATATGGTTAAAATCTGGATCAATGCTTTTAGATGTTGTTGAGACACTGCCACCTTGCCCCGTTAAACCAGGTTTCGTTGAGCTTCGAACTACTGATTACATGAGGTTCTTGAAAGACATATAGAAGTTGGTATTCAAGTGTAAGACAAAATACTATGGATGTCAACTTCTTCTTTATTGTATACACAACGTTTCTATATATACGTATATATATCCTGTATATCTGTTAGTTAGCATTCACCTGACGAAGGGGCAAGGAAAAGCCCAGAAACGTTGTGTATACAAAGAAGAAGTTAACATCCATAATATTTTGTCTTATATTGGTTACATGTATGAAATACATACTGAACGTCTCGTGCTCAGTACATCCATGGAGATGTGGAGGAGTTGTCGTGTTGAAGGCGTTACGGGTGGATCCATGACATACTCAAAACAGCAACCGGCTACTATTTGTCAACTTGTGTAAACTGATTATAGAAGAACACAATGTCACTGGATTAACAAGATGTGAAGTCAGTGACACAGCGGGCCTAACGAAGGTGTTCTTCCGATGTCTGGTAAATTGGTAATAGTTATTGATCCAGCGAAATTAAAATTATTGATTCTTGCAGTACACAAGCACCCGTGTCTATATGCTTTGGACTCAAAGAACATGAAAGACGCGAAAATGGCCAATAACTCGTGTGCTGCCATCAGCAAGGTTTGTGAAGCTAGTGGTTGGTAAACAGACTATAACAAGTGAACTAGTGATACCTGGGGCTTAAAAGAACATGTACGTACAAGTGTGAGTCTCAAATTAAGAACATGTACGTACAAGTGTGAGTCTCCAATTAAGGACATGTACGTACAAGTGTGAGCCTCAAATTAAGAACATGTACGTACAAGTGTGAGTCTCCAATTAAGAACATGTACGTACAAGTGTGAGCCTCCAATTAAGGACATGTACGTACAAGTGTGAGTCTCAAATTAAGGACATGTACGTACAAGTGTGAGTCTCAAATTAAGAACATGTACGTACAAGTGTGAGCCTCAAATTAAGAACATGTACGTACAAGTGTGAGTCTCCAATTAAGAACATGTACGTACAAGTGTGAGTCTCCAATTAAGGACATGTACGTACAAGTGTGAGCCTCAAATTAAGAACATGTACGTATGCGTGTGAGCCTCAAATTAAGAACATGTACGTATAAGTGTGAGTCTCCAATTAAGAACATGTACGTACAAGTGTGAGCCTCCAATTAAGAACATGTACGTACAAGTGTGAGCCTCCAATTAAGAACATGTACGTACAAGTGTGAGTCTCCAATTAAGAACATGTACGTACAAGTGTGAGCCTCCAATTAAGAACATGTACGTACAAGTGTGAGCCTCCAATTAAGGACATGTACGTACAAGTGTGAGCCTCCAATTAAGGACATGTACGTACAAGTGTGAGTCTCCAATTAAGAACATGTACGTACAAGTGTGAGCCTCCAATTAAGAACATGTACGTACAAGTGTGAGCCTCCAATTAAGGACATGTACGTACAAGTGTGAGCCTCCAATTAAGAACATGTACGTACAAGTGTGAGCCTCAATTAAGAACATGTACGTACAAGTGTGAGCCTCAATTAAGAACATGTACGTACAAGTGTGAGTCTCCAATTAAGAACATGTACGTACAAGTGTGAGTCTCCAATTAAGAACATGTACGTACAAGTGTGAGCCTCCAATTAAGAACATGTACGTACAAGTGTGAGCCTCCAATTAAGAACATGTACAAGTGTGAGTCTCCAATTAAGGACATGTACGTACAAGTGTGAGCCTCCAATTAAGAACATGTACGTACAAGTGTGAGCCTCCAATTAAGGACATGTACGTACAAGTGTGAGAGCCTCCAATTAAGAACATGTACGTACAAGTGTGAGTCTCAATTAAGAACATGTACGTACAAGTGTGAGCCTCAATTAAGAACATGTACGTACAAGTGTGAGCCTCCAATTAAGAACACATGTACGTACAAGTGTGAGCCTCCAATTAAGAACATGTACGTATAAGTGTGAGTCTCCAATTAAGAACATGTACGTACAAGTGTGAGTCTCCAATTAAGAACATGTACGTACAAGTGTGAGTCTCCAATTAAGAACATGTACGTACAAGTGTGAGCCTCCAATTAAGGACATGTACGCACAAGTGTGAGTCTCCAATTAAGGACATGTACGTAAAAGTGTGAGCCTCAATTAAGAGCCTCAAATTAAGAACATGTACGTATGCGTGTGAGTCTCCAATTAAGAACATGTACGTATAAGTGTGAGTCTCCAATTAAGAACATGTACGTATAAGTGTGAGTCTCCAATTAAGAACATGTACGTATAAGTGTGAGTCTCCAATTAAGAACATGTACGTATGCGTGTGAGTCTCAAATTAAGAACATGTACGTATAAGTGTGAGTCTCCAATTAAAAACATGTACGTATGCGTGTGAGTCTCCAATTAAGAAAACATGTACGTATAAGTGTGAGTCTCCAATTAAAAACATGTACGTATGCGTGTGAGTCTCCAATTAAGAACATGTACGTATGAGTTTCAAATTAAGAACATGTACGTATAAGTGTGAGTTTCAAATTAAGAACATGTACGTATGCGTGTGAGTCTCCAATTAAGAACATGTGCATACTTGTAAGTGTGAGTCTCAAATTACAATGAGCACGATATTCCTTTAGACTTGAGGTTTTAGGCTGGCAACACCGACTCGTATGTATTGTAGAAGGCCACATGTTATCAGCTTGAGTTTTACCAGTCTGGGTGTGCCATATACAGTAATAGCCTATAAGAACTTGCACACGTTCGGCCTAACGCCCAAGATCCGTACGATTGTCTTTTATTGTGTTCTCACACACAAATAGCGGTCCAGGGAGGAAGGCGAAAATTGTGTTTCGTATCAACGAGACGCTTGACAAATTGTTCACCTGGCACACAGTGTCCAAGTTTTTCATGATAATCTGTTCTTGCACCTCAGTTGGCCTCAACGTCAGCACCATTAACCGCCTGTGCAACTGCAGCTGTAAAGGGACATTTACTTGTTTTGAGTAACAAGGACGGATTAATCCAAAGTGCTTGTTTTCAAAAGTATTCAGTATACACTGTATCTTGCTTTGGTCTAGTAGTCATAACGTCAGACACTGAAAACATTTCATTTACTTTTAATTGTTACTGTCACGTGACAGGTATTCTAAATATAAAATAATATACACAAACTAATCTGAGTTTCACAGCTAGTGTTCCTTGTGGCGGTGTCGTTGTTTCTGACATTTAAGATCTACTAGATTACGTATATTCAGGCGATATTAAATTTTCTATATTTAACAAGTTCTTTTTACAAGACATCACTGCGCCACGTTGTCTCGACGCTGGTTCAGTGTTAAGCAGGAGCTCAGTCTATTGCCTTGGTAGACTGGTTCCCATTCGTTCCTGCGGCAGGCTAGACAAAGTAATAAGCTGGGCCCAGTCTCTCATATCGCAATATAGCTTTGTCGAACGTTAGCGCGCGCAAAGGGAGCCGGGAACCAGCTTAGACCGAGTAAGTGCCATTCGTCACCACTCGCCCCTTTCCGTAACCTCCTAGGAGGTATTCGGCTTGTCCCGGAATAACACGAGTTGGTCACGAATGAGTAAGTGCAACGATACAAAGTATGCTGGGCCCCGTCTCGTATATCGCAATATGGTGCGCGCAAAGGGAGCCGGGAACCAGTTTAAGATACAAAGTGGGCGATCCGGGAAACAGTCTGTGTTGTCTTTGCAGCAGTCGTTTGGATGTCCCGGAATGACACGATAGATACCGAATAGGTTGCTGGGTGGCAGCACCGGGTAGCAATTTCAAGGTCGGCACATGGTTGCGGTGTAAGTGAACAACATCATGCATAGCCAGTTTTGATTTCCGTGAGATACTGTGAGAGTGGTCTCCCGCAGAGTGTTGCGAAATGGTGTAGATTGCTAGGGGAATCCCCTTCCTGTTGTTACTAGTTCCGAAGAAACAAAACTATGGAATGTGGTGTCCTGATAGTCCTCTTGCACCCAAGACTAAATATAACCACCATATGATTACTGCACAAATTCCAAAGAGGCTTAGTTACCAGCTTGTTGCAGTTACATTGATGGACGTACAATGATAAACATGAGAAGCCGAAACATCTTGAGCTCATTGAGTTTTAGAGGATCTCTACTGCTCGACTATAGCTCCGAACTAATAATAGTCACTTTGATTGGCAATGCGGTGAATCTACCAAACATTCAATCGACAGGAGTTGGAAAGTGTAAACAATTAATATACCTTCCCTACAGTAATGGAACACACAGCAGCAGTCTGTCTAAAGCAAGGGTGCCTATAAATATTGAGAGGTCAATCACACATTCTGAAACAGAATCCCCACAGTATGTCCCACTGAAGTGGTTGTGACACAACTGACAGTTATCTACAGCTAAAAGGCTGTCAATGGGCATGGCAACTGTTACATGAGACCGGGGACAAATTTAAGGTACAAGAGATTCAGTGTATGTTTTGTGCTTTGTGAATTAAATGTTCCAAGTACTGGCATCTTGGAGCCTGCACTTCTGTCAGCTGTGACTATTTGTACTTAGAAGCTTTGTTCTAGGACAGGGAGATGTTGGGAATGTTCGTTGTGTGGTTGTTGTCCACAGTAGTCCTTGTCGCAAGTACATCCAAGTTCTTAATACCTCTAAAGAATAGGCATATCTTTTCCTGTGTGTGGATTCCAGTTTATAGTTGGTCCAAATAAACCTGTAGCAGTCATAACTGGCCACCAATTTTCGGGGACTAGTGGGAGTCAAACTCAGTGACTTTCAATATGGAACAAGTTTTTATGGATAATGACTTCTTTATTTCGTGAGTGCGACGTTTCGATACAGATTCTTGTACCGTTGTCAAGTAACGTTGTCACTCTTGCTTGACAACGGTACAAGAATCTGTATCGAAACGTCGCACTCACGAAATAAAGAAGTTGTTATCCATAAAAACTTGTTCCATATTGTACGTCTCAAATTCTAAAATGCCACTCAAACAACTCAGTGACTTTGTTGTGTGTTTAGTCATGACCAGCAGCATGAATCACTGCTAGCAATAGGAATTTCTCTACTGTAGACTGCAATGTATTATTGGAATATCTGCAATACAAATTGCAATGTGTTTTCTGAAAAACAATGTATTCAGTAAAAACAATATATAACAAGTTTCCCTTTATCTCTATGGTTGAAGTTAAAATCTACACAGATGGTGTCCTCCCATTACGCAGACAGCCAGTTCGCAGACACCTTACAACAACAACATTACGGCCCAGTGAACAGATTATCTACCACCTGTTACCTACACATTATAATGGAATAGTCCAAATAAAAACACAGGAACAAACTGAAGCTATATTATTTAGTTTGAAAGATGGACGAAAAGAGAGTAATTTGAATTTATAAAAACAGTTTATTTTCATAAACATTTCGGTTTAACCTTCTAGTCTAACGGGAGTTGGCATCATCATATTGAAAACATTAGCTTAGCATTTAGAAATTGCGACACTGTTGTATCATATATATCAAATAAAGACAAATGTGAACCTAAATATTATTCATATGGAATAAAGAAGTTATATGGTTTTCAAACAATATTAAGATATATGACGAGTGCACTTAATTATGGTTTATTTAGAATAAATATTTAAAATATGACGCATCATGTCAATGTGGCCATGAATGTGAGAATGTTTTTCATTACTTCCTTGAATGTCCATTGTATACTACTCAAAGACATAAACTGTTACACTCTTTAGAAAGTATTGTTAAAATTAGAACACTGATTGGTATTAATCGTATCTTACATGGCAATGCAGGTGTCTCATTTACTGCAAATCAGAATGTTTTAAATATGTACATATCTATATCTCTCCAACAAAACTTCTGTTGTACATATGCTATTATTGGGAGGGGGCTTTTCTATCAATAAACACAATCAAACCTCTCAGTGACAAACCTGTTTTTATATTCAATATCAATTGATAGTAAAATCAATTTTGAGAAGAGAAATCATTTATCATTTAATCACAATGTTCTATTTACCCACATTCAAACTTTGCAGTAACGAACCTGTTTCAGGCTCACCCTGCTCTACTCGCTAGACATTATACCAGTAGGTGTTACCCTAATTAACCTTCTTGTTCAGTGTCTGTCAATTGGGTGTCTGTCAAATGGGAGATAACCATACAGACTTTCATTCACCTCTAATGTTTCCTGTCGTAATTAAATGACAAAATGGCATACTTAACATACTGTCAGCTGTATTAAAAAAGAGAATTCCAAAGTATCCAACAAACTGTTTTAGAGACTGATGGTGTAAGAAGGTCTGTGGTTCCAATCCTAGCCACAGGACTCCGAAATTTTATGGCCACTGCATAAACAACAATGAAATGTACAAAGACAAACAGAGCAATTTAGCCCAACAGCTGACCATGTGAGTGTTGGGCAAGGACAATATGTTCGAGACATGAAGTTGACTAGTTGAATCAAGACAGGAGCTACTTGATATTCAACTTGTATAGGAGAGTTTATTGCTTGTAACCATAACTCTACTTCCTGAAAACATCAGAAACATGATTGTGTTTTTGAAATGTGAAAGTGGCTAGTTATAGTTACAACCTATATTTATTACAAGGAATTCGATCACAGATTTCAACATTATTCTCCCTACAGTTTTGCATATTTGTATTGCAGACAGAAGAACTTTTCACACCATGACCAGCTAGCCCAAAGCACTTCATTTGGGAGGAAATGAGGTCTCAGTCAGAGAAGGTTTGAAAAGATGAGCTTTTCAAACATTTATCAACTGAAATCAGAAGAGGCTCGATTCCGAACATTTGAACGCTGGCCCTTGGCCTCTGCAATCAAGCCCGATCAGCTGGCCAAAACCGGCTTTTGTTACATCGGACCAAGCGACAGAGTGAAGTGTGTATTTTGCAATGGAATCCTCAAGAGTTGGCTCCCTAATGATGACCCAGAGACAGAGCACCGAACCCACTTCCCTCACTGCCCCTTCCTACAGGGCAGGGATGTGGGAAATATTCCCATGGCAACGCAGCAGGTGGCAAGGCCAAGGTCGCTTGTCATGGAGAGCGTTCGATTCCCAGCTTATTCAGAGATTGGTTCTCGCTTGGACTCCATGTCAAGGCTGCCTCCATGTCAGTTGATGGTCAAGGCTGCCAGGAGGTGTACTGCAAGACAGACAGTTGATGGTGGAGGCTGGCTTCTTTTATACAGGTGAGTGAGTCAGTCAGTCAGTGAGTAACTGAAGGACACAGTGAGTTAGTGCATGTTTTGACTGTGTACTGCAAGACAGACGGTTGATGGTGGAGGCTGGCTTCTTTTATACAGGTGAGTGAGTCAGTCAGTCAGTGAGTAACTGAAGGACACAGTGAGTTAGTGCATGTTTGACTGTGTACTGCAAGACAGACAGTGAACTTGATGGTGGATGGTGGAGGCTGGCTTCTTTATACAGGTTTATACAGGTGAGTGAGTCAGTCAGTCAGTGAGTAACTGAAGGACACAGTGAGTTAGTGCATGTTTTGACTGTGTACTGCAAGACAGACAGTTGATGGTGGAGGCTGGCTTCTTTTATACAGGTGAGTGAGTCAGTCAGTCAGTGAGTAACTGAAGGACACAGTGAGTTAGTGCATGTTTTGACTGTGTACTGCAAGACAGACGGTTGATGGTGGAGGCTGGCTTCTTTTATACAGGTGAGTGAGTCAGTCAGTCAGTGAGTAACTGAAGGACACAGTGAGTTAGTGCATGTTTTGACTGTGTACTGCAAGACAGACGGTTGATGGTGGAGGCTGGCTTCTTTTATACAGGTGAGTGAGTCAGTCAGTCAGTGAGTAACTGAAGTGAGTTAGTGCATGTTTTGACTGTGTACTGCAAGACAGACGGTTGATGGTGGAGGCTGGCTTCTTTTATACAGGTGAGTGAGTCAGTCAGTCAGTGAGTAACTGAAGGACACAGTGAGTTAGTGCATGTTTTGACTGTGTACTGCAAGACAGACAGTTGATGGTGGAGGCTGGCTTCTTTTATACAGGTGAGTGAGTGCAGTCAGTCAGTGAGTAACTGAAGGACACAGTGAGTTAGTGCATGTTTTGACTGTGTACTGCAAGACAGACAGTTGATGGTGGAGGCTGGCTTCTTTTATACAGGTGAGTGATTGAGTGAGTCAGTGAGTAACTGAAGGACACAGTGAGTTAGTGCATGTTTTGACTGTGTACTGCAAGACAGACAGTTGATGGTGGAGGCTGGCTTCTTTTATACAGGTGAGTGAAGTAAAGTAAAGTGAATGAGTGAGTGAGTAACTGAAGGACAGTTACTGAGTGAGTGCATGTTGTGACTGTGTACTGTAAGACAGATGATTGTGGAGACAGGTTACTGATACAGGTGAGTCGTCTGAGTTGTGAATGAGTTGTCTTGGCTGTGAGGGAATGTACTGCATGACGGACAACTCCGACAAGTGATTGTGGTGGCAGGCATATTTTGCCCAGACTGGCGGAATGTGTACTGTATGTCAAACAGGGGATTAGGGTGCCTGGATACTGTGGAGGTGAGTGAGTGAGTGAGTGAGTGCAAGTCAAGATAACCCTGAAATGTGTGGAAGGAGCGACAAGATATTGTCGATTGAATGTAGTGTTAAAATATGTAGTTCCAAATTTGATAAGAAGAAATTCCTGCCTGCCATGGACACTTTGTGTAGAATATAGACAAGGACATGTTTGAACCACTGGTTGCCTACATGCAGGCCATGGTGACAGCGTCAAGTGTTTCTCCTGCGGAGGTGCATTGCGGAACTGGCAGGCAGATGACGACCCCTGGATTGAGCACGCCCGATGGTTTCCCAGGTGCCCCTACCTGCGGCAACAGAAGGGGGATGAGTTTGTGGACGACATTGAATCTAATTTCAGGAATGCAGTAAGTGGTATGGTGGGTAAAGTTATTTGAACAAATTTTAGTCTTCCTTCCTGTCTGTGTTGGCTTACATCTGCCTTCTTCTCTGTTTTGGGTTCAGTTTGCCTTCCTCTTTGTTTTGGTTTAAGACTGCCTTACTGTCTGTGTTGGTTTAAGTCTGCCTTACTGTCTGTGTTGGTTTAAGTCTGCCTTACTCTCTGTGTTGGTTGAAGTGTGCCTTACTGTTTGTGTTGGTTAACGTTTGCCTTACTGTCTGTGTTGGTTTAAGTCTGCCTTTTGTCTGTGTTTGTTTAAGTCTGCCTTACTGTTTGTGTTGGTTAACGTTTGCCTTACTGTCTGTGTTGGTTTAAGTCTGCCTTTTGTCTGTGTTTGTTTAAGTCTGCCTTACTGTCTGTGTTGGTTAACTTTTGCCTTACTGTCTGTGTTGGTTTAAGTCTGCCTTACTGTCTGTGTTGGTTTAAGTCTGCCTTTTGTCTGTGTTGGTTTAAGTCTGCCTTACTGTCTGTGTTGGTTAACTTTTGCCTTACTGTCTGTGCTGGTTTAAGTCTGCCTTTTGTCTGTGTTTGTTTAAGTCTGCCTTTTGTCTGTGTTGGTTAAGCCTGCCTTACTGTCTGTGTTGGTTTAAGTCTGCCTTTTGTCTGTGTTTGTTTAAGTCTGCCTTACTGTCTGTGTTGGTTAACTTTTGCCTTACTGTCTGTGTTGGTTTAAGTCTGCCTTACTGTCTGTGTTGGTTTAAGTCTGCCTTTTGTCTGTGTTTGTTTAAGTCTGCCTTACTGTCTGTGTTGGTGAACTTTTGCCTTACTGTCTGTGCTGGTTTAAGTCTGCCTTACTGTCTGTGCTGGTTTAAGTCTGCCTTTTGTCTGTGTTTGTTTAAGTCTGCCTTTTGTCTGTGTTGGTTAAGCCTGCCTTACTGTCTGTGTTGGTTTATTCACAAATATTTATCACTTTAACGATTTGTTGTAGATTGTTATCCCCTTTACAGTTACCTTGTATTCTTAAGAGTAAATCTCAGTTCTGTCCAATGTACTGGATTGCCAGGTGCTAAAACAGCACCATTATGTACACTGAATATAATATAAGTTGTTCACTGGTCTCGAGGGGGACATGGGCTGATGTACCCTGGATGTTTGTTTATGTTCCCTGAGCCCGAAGGGCGAGGGGAACATAAACAAACATCCAGGGTACATCAACCCATGGGCCCCGAGGGACCAGTGAACAACGTATTTATCATACCGAACACCTTAATGTTAATTTTGATTTTGGTGACCAAAAAAAAAATGATTTAGAATTATCTCCCTTCCATCGATTTGCATTCGCAAAACATCGGTAATTTCCGAACATCATACGTGATTCAATATTATTTGAGATAAAGAATTACTACCACGAAGTACCAAATGAGTTGCCATTGACAGCAGACTACTTTGAAATGTTACTCGCTTGTAAGTGGGGTGCATTGGAAATAATAGAAGAGCGCTCAGCCAATCAGAAAGCGACATTTATGTGTGAGGTAAGATAATGTTTAATATATGTTACCCTTAATTTGGTTGTCTGGAAAACATTATCATATGCATATCATTTGTCTTGCAGTCAGTGCCCACAACACCTCACAGGGAATATCCTCCATCAGGTGAGTGCTGCATGACTGCTACATGAATGTCTGATGTACCAATAGTAGAATGTGATGATCTTCACCATGGGGACTCTGGCTTAGAACTGGTCCCCAGTAACCTGTGTTGGTCTACACTGTGGTCCCCAGTAGCCTCTGTTGGTCTACATTGTGGTCCCAAGTAACCTATGTTGGTCTACACAGTGGTCCCCAGTAACCTATGTTGGTCTACACTGTGGTCCCCAGTAACCTGTGTTGGTCTACACTGTGGTCCCCAGTAACCTGTGTTGGTCTACACTGTGGTCCCCAGTAACCTGTGTTGGTCTACACTGTGGTCCCCAGTAACCTAACCTGTGGTCCCCAGTAACCTGTGTTGGTCTACACTGTGGTCCCCAGTAACCTGTGTTGGTCTACACTGTGGTCCCCAGTACAACCTGTGTTGGTCCCCAGTAACCTATGTTGGTTCACACTGTGGTCCCCAGTCTGTGTTGGTCTACACTGTGGTCCCCAGTAACCTATGTTGGTCTACACTGTGGTCCCCAGTAACCTATGTTGTTGGTCTGGTCTACACACCTGTGTTGGTCTACACTGTGGTCCCCACCTGTGGTACACTGTGGTCCCCAGTAACCTATGTTGGTCTACACTGTGGTCCCCAGTAACCTATGTTGGTCTACACTGTGGTCCCCAGTAACCTGTGGTATGTTGTTGGTCTACACTGTGGTCCCCAGTAACCTATGTGTTGGTCTACACTGTGGTCCCCAGTAACCTGTGTTGGTCTACACTGTGGTCCCCAGTAACCTGTTGTTGGTCTACACTGTGGTCCCCAGTAACCTATGTTGGTCTACACTGTGGTCCCCAGTAACCTGTCTACACTGTGGTCCCCAGGTTGGTCTACACTGTGGTCCCCAGTAACCTGTTGTTGGTCTACACTGTGGTCCCCAGTAACCTATGTTTGGTCTACACTGTGGTCCCCAGTAACCCTATGTCCCCAGTTGGTCTACACTGTGGTCCCCAGTAACCTGTGTTGGTCTACACTGTGGTCCCCAGTAACCTATGTTGGTCTACACTGTGGTCCCCAGTAACCTATGTTGGTCTACACTGTGGTCCCCAGTAACCTATGTTGGTCTACACTGTGGTCCCCAGTAACCTGTGTTGGTCTACACTGTGGTCCCCAGTAACCTGTGTTGGTCTACACTGTGGTCCCCAGTAACCTATGTTGGTCTACACTGTGGTCCCCAGTAACCTGTGTCTTGGTCTACACTGTGGTCCCCAGTAACCTATGTTGGTCTACACTGTGGTCCCCAGTACTGTGGTCCCCAGTAACCCCATGTTGGTCTACACTGTGGTCCCCAGTAACCTGTACACTGTGGTCCCCAGTAACCTGTGTTGGTCTACACTGTGGTCCCCAGTAAATGTTGGTCCTGTGGTCCCCAATAACCTTGGTCTACACTGTGTCCCCAGGTGGTCCCAGTAACCTATGTTGGTCTACACTGTGGTCCCCAGTAACCTATGTTGGTCTACACTGTGGTCCCCAGTAACCTGTGTTGGTCTACACTGTGGTCTGTGTCCCAGTAACCTATGTTGGTCTACACTGTGGTCCCCAGTAACCTGTGTTGGTCTACACTGTGGTCCCCAGTAACCTATGTTGGTCTACACTGTGGTCCCCAGTAACCTATGTTGGTCTACACTGTGGTCCCCAGTAACCTGTGTTGGTCTACACTGTGGTCCCCAGTGTTGGTCTACACTGTGGTCCCCAGTAACCTATGTTGGTCTACACTGTGGTCCCCAGTAACCTATGTTGGTCTACACTGTGGTCCCCAGTAACCTGTGTTGGTCTACACTGTGGTCCCTAGTAACCTGTGTTGGTCTACCAGTAACCTATGTTGGTCTACACTGTGGTCCCCAGTAAATGTTGGTCCTGTGGTCCCCAGTAACCTTGGTTGGTCTACACTGTGGTCCCCAGTGTTGGTCTACACTGTGGTCCCCAGTAACCTATGTTGGTCTACACTGTGGTCCCCAGTAACCTGTGTTGGTCTACACTGTGGTCCCCAGTAACCTATGTTGGTCTACACTGTGGTCCCCAGTAACCTATGTTGGTCTACACTGTGGTCCCCAGTAACCTATGTTGGTCTACACTGTGGTCCCCAGTAACCTATGTTGGTCTACACTGTGGTCCCCAGTAACCTATGTTGGTCTACACTGTGGTCCCCAGTAACCTGTGTTGGTTGTCCCCAGTAACCTACACTGTGGTCCCCAGTAACCTATGTTGGTCTACACTGTGGTCCCCAGTAACCTATGTTGGTCTACACTGTGGTCCCCAGTAACCTATGTTCGTCTACACTGTGGTCTCCAGTAACATATGTTGGTCTACACCAGGAAACTATGGTTGTAAACCCTGTGGGGTTCTGGTTTAGAACCTGTGCTAGACTACACTTTAAGATGTGAAATTGATTGGTCATCAGACTATGTGTTGTTGTTCATGATATTGATCATGAGTGTGGTGTTATAGAACAAGCAAACAACCCTCTGGAAATTAGGAAAGTGCTCACATTGAATTCATCCATGTTGTCATGTTTCCAAGTGATCATCTCATAGCAACACATCTTAATGAGTATTCAAGCTAAGACGGACTTGTAACACTTTCTTGTAACTTGTAATTTCTGCCTTCTCAGAGATATCTTGGTCTATGTCATTGGTAGGTGTGCTATAAAAGTATGATGAATCATCAGTTTGTACATGAAAAGATAGGTATTGGTATAAAAGATGTTTCTTGTGGGAATCAACATTATCAGCGTCGACATTATGAACTGAAATATGTTATTGAACAGCTGAGAGACACCATGAAGAGTTTTCTCCCATGATCCAGGCTGTGGTGGAGAGTGGCTACAGTGAGGATTTCGTACAGAGGGTTCTTCTCAATCTCAAGAGAATACGCGGTGTGTATGCTTATACCCCTTGCCTGGGGTGGAAATGACCCATTGCCCGATGCCACAGTCCAGTGTTTTTTTCTGTCGGGCTAGCAAATTTGTATGTCACGCTGTACCGGTGTCCAGTTGACTTTCCAATTTTTATTATGTTGTTTATGATGTTTATTTAAAAATCAACAAGAAAATCATCCAGTATAGTGGAAGAATTATCAGGGCAAGTGAATTTTTACATGTGCCACTGTACCGGAGCACACTAGTACACTTAAGCAATTTTAAAGTTATTTCCACCCCTGCTTGCTGGCGTTTACTTCTTTTGTCACGTGTTTCTCTACAGGCTGTAGTATTCAGTTGTCAGTTTCACACAAATAGCATAATGAGTGTGTGTCATGAGTGTGATAATCTGTGATGTCATTAGTTTGAAAAATATCTGATGTCATGAGTGGGTATCATGAGTGTGTAAAAATGAGATGTCATGAGTGTGTGTCATGAATACGAGAAACTGACATGACATGAGTGTGTGTCATGAGTGTGAGAAAGTGACATGTCATGAGTGTGAGAAACTGAGATGTCATGAATGAGAAACGGTGATGTCATGAGTGTGAGAAACAGATGTCATGAAGTGTGAGAAAGTGACATGTCATGAATGTAAGAAACTGAGATGTCATGAATGTGAGAAACTGATGTGAGAAACTGTGATGTCATGAGTGTGAGAAACAGATGTCATGAATGTGAGAAATGTCTGAGTGTGATGTCATGAGTGTGATCAAATCTGGTGTCATGAGTGTGAGAAACTGAGACATCATGAGTGTGAGAACCAGAGATGAGCGTGAGAAAGTGAGATGTTGTGAGTGTGAGAAAATGAAATGACAAGAGCGCGAGTAACTGAGATGACATGAGTGTGAGAAACTAAGAAGACATGAGTGTGAGAAACTGAGATGTCATGAGCGTGAGAAACTGATGTCATGAGTGTGAGAAACTGATGTCATGAGTGTGATCAAATCTGGTGTCATGAGTGTGAGAAACTGAGACATCATGAGTGTGAGAACCAGAGATGGCATGAGTGTGAGAAACTGATGTCATGAGCCTGAGAAAGTGAGATGTCATTAGTGTGAGAAAATGAAATGACAAGAGCACGAGTAACTGAGATGACATGAGTGTGAGAAACTAAGAAGTCATGTGAGAACTGAGATGTCATGAGCTGTGAGAAACTGATGTCATGAGTGTGAGAAACTGATGTCATTATGAGTCTGTGATGTCATGAGTGTGATAAACTGTGATGTCATGAGTGTGAGAACTGTGATGATGATCATGAGTGTGATGAAGCATGAGATGAGAAAACTGAGATGAGAGAAACTGATGACATGAATGAGAAACTGTGAGAATGAGCATTGATGTGAGAGTGTGAGTGATGTCATGAATGTAAGAACTGTGATGTCATGAGTGTGATCAAATGAAATGACAAGAGTGTGAGAAACTGAGATGACATGAGTGTGTGAGAAACTAAGATGTCGTTAGTGTGAGAAAATGAAATGACATGTGAGAAACTGAAAGATGTCATGTCATGAGAGAAACTGATGAGAAACTATGATGTCATGAGTGTGAGAAACTGATGTCATGAGTGTGATCAAATCTGGTGTCATGAGTGTGAGAAACTGAGACATCATGAGTGTGAGAACCAGAGATGGCATGAGTGTGAGAAACTGATGTCATGAGCCTGAGAAAGTGAGATGTCATTAGTGTGAGAAAATGAAATGACAAGAGCACGAGTAACTGAGATGACATGAGTGTGAGAAACTAAGAAGACATGAGTGTGAGAAACTGAGATGTCATGAGCGTGAGAAACTGTGATATCATGAGTGAGAAACTGATGTCATTAGTGTGATAGTCTGTGATGTCATGAGTGTGATAAACTGTGATGTCATAAGTGTGAGAAACTGTGATGTCATGATTGTGAGAAACTGTGATGTCATGAGCATGAGAAACTGATGTCATGAGTGTGAGAAACTGATGTCATGAATGTGAGAAACTGTGATCTCATGAGCATGAGAAACTGATGTCATGAGTGTGAGAAACTGATGTCATGAATGTAAGAAACTGTGATGTCATGAGTGTGATCAAATCTGGTGCCATGAGTGTGAGAAACTGAGATATCATGAGTGTGAGAACCAGAGATGGCATGAGCGTGAGAAAGTGAGATGTCGTTAGTGTGAGAAAATGAAATGACAAGAGCGCGAGTAACTGAGATGACATGAGTGTGAGAAACTAAGAAGACATGAGTGTGAGAAACTGAGATGTCATGAGCGTGAGAAACTGTGATGTCATGAGTGTGAGAAACTGTGATGTCATGATTGTGTGTCTTGAGTGTGAGAAACTGAGATGACCTGAGTCTGTGAGAGTTAGACCATGTCTCTGTGTAAGCTTGAACTAAGTTATCATGTATTTAGGCTGTGGACAGGAGCAATGCAGCACACCATCTGCTGGACGTATGTACTGATCTATCTTCCAGGGCCAAGTTTTCTAGTTGATGTGGAAACATTAATGGAAGCTGTGATGAGAGAACAAGATGAGGCAGCTGTTTCTGGATCAACATCGCTGGCTGGTGCTACAGCATCTACATCAGGTAGGTGCTTTACACATTAGGGAGGGGCCAGATCTATATGAAGTTGGTGCTTTACGCATTAGGGGTGGGCCAGATCTATATGAAGTTGGTGCTTTACACATTAGGGGTGGGGCCAGATCTATATGAAGTTGGTGCTTTACACATTAGGGGCCGGGCCAGATCTATATGAAGTTGATTGTGTACACATTAGGGGGCAGGCCAGATCTATATGAAGTTGGTGGTTGGTTTACATTAGTGGGGGGGACAGGGTTGGTGGGCCAGATCTATATGAAGTTGGTGGTTTACACATTAGGGTTGGGGCCAGATCTATATGAAGTTGGGTGGTTGTGTACACATGAAGTTGGTTGGGGGTGTACACATTAGAGAGGGCCAGATCTATATGAAGTTGGTGGAAAACATATTATGGATGCGGGCCAGATCTATATGTAGTTGGTTGTGTACACATTAGGGGGCGGGGCCAGATCTATATGAAGTTGGTGGAAAACATATTATGGGCGGGGCCAGATCTATATGTAGTCGGTTGTGTACACATTAGGGCGGGCCAGATCTATATGAAGTTGGTTGAAAACACATTATGGGCGGGCCAGATCTATATGTAGTTGGTTGTGTACACATTAGGGGTGGGCCAGATCTATATGAAGTTGGTGCATTTACACATTAGGGCGGGCCAGATCTATATGAAGTTGGTTGTGTACACATTAGGGGCAGGGCCAGATCTATATGAAGTTGGTTGTGTACACATTAGGGCGGGCCAGATCTATATGAAGTTGGTGGTTTACACATTAGAAGGAGGGCCAGATCTATATGAAGTTGGTGGTTTACACATTGTGTACAGACTATATGAAGTTGGGCCAGATCTATATGAAGTTGGTGGTTTACACATTAGTGGGTGGGGCCAGATCTATATGAAGTTGGTGGTTTACACATTAGGGTGAGGGCCAGATCTATATGAAGTTGGTTGGTTTACAGACATATAGTTGGTGGTTTACACATTGGGGCCAGATCTATATGAAGTTGGTTGTGTACACATTAGTTGGGTGTGAGGGCCAGATCTATATGAAGTTGGTTGTTTACACATTAGGGTGGGGCCAGATCTATATGAAGTTGGTGGTTTACACATTAGGTGAGGGCCAGATCTATATGAAGTTGGTTGTGTACACATTAGGGCAGGCCAGATCTATATGAAGTTGGTGGTTTACACATTAGTCTATATGAAGTTGGGGACAGATCTATATGAAGTTGGTGGTTGTACACATTAGTGAGGGCCAGATCTATATGAAGTTGGTTGTTTACACATTAGTGGGTGGGGGCCAGATCTATATCAAGTTGGTTGTGTACACATTAGGGGTGGGGGCCAGATCTATATGAAGTTGGTGTGTGTACACATTAGGGCGGGGGCCAGATCTATATGAAGTTGGTTGTGTACACACATTAGGGGCGGGGGCCAGATCTATATGAAGTTGGTTGTGTACACATTAGGGAGGGCCAGATCTATATGAAGTTTGTTTGTGTACACATTAGAGTGCGGGCCAGATCTATATGAAGTTATGGGTGAGGGCCAGATCTATATGAAGTTGGTGGTTTACACATTAGGGAAGTGGGGCCAGATCTATATGAAGTTGGTTGTGTACACATTAGGAGGGCCAGATCTATATGAAGTTGGTTGTGTACACACACATAGGGAGGGCCAGATCTATATGAAGTTGGTGGTTTACACATTAGGGGTGGGGCCAGATCTATATCAAGTTGGTTGTGTACACATTAGGGGGCGGGGCCAGATCTATATGAAGTTGGTTGTGTACACATTAGGGGCGGGCCAGATCTATATGAAGTTGGTTGTTTACACATTAGGGGCCAGATCTATATGAAGTTGATGGTTTACACATTAGGGGGTGGGGCCAGATCTATATGAAGTTGGTGCTTTACACATTAGGGGCGGGCCAGATCTATATGAAGTTGGTGGTTTACACATTAGGGTTGGGGCCAGATCTATATGAAGTTGGTTGTGTACACATTAGGGGTGGGGCCAGATCTATATGAAGTTGGTTGTGTACACATTAGGGGGTGGGGCCAGATCTATATGAAGTTGGTGGTTTACACATTAGGGAGGTGGGGCCAGATCTATATCAAGTTGGTTGTGTACACATTAGGGGTGGGGCCAGATCTATATGAAGTTGGTTGTTTACACATTAGGGCGGGCCAGATCTATATGAAGTTGGTGGAAAACACATTATGGGCGGGCCAGATCTATATGAAGTTGGTTGTGTACACATTAGGGGGGGGGCCAGATCTATATGAAGTTGGTTGTGTACACATTAGGGTGGGGCCAGATCTATATGAAGTTGGTTGTTTACACATTAGGGGGCGGGGCCAGATCTATATGAAGTTGGTGCTTTACACATTAGGGGTGGGGCCAGATCTATATGAAGTTGGTTGTGTACACATTAGGGGTGGGGCCAGATCTATATGAAGTTGGTGCTTTACACATTAGGGGTGGGGCCAGATCTATATCAAGTTGGTTGTGTACACATTAGGGGTCGGGCCAGATCTATATGAAGTTGGTGCTTTACACATTAGGGCGGGCCAGATCTATATCAAGTTGGTTGTGTACACATTAGGGTGGGGCCAGATCTATATGAAGTTGGTGCATTAGGGGTGAGGCCAGATTACACGCTAGTGGAAGGGCCAGATCTATATGAAATTGGTTGTTTATACCTTGGGATTGTGGCCAGATTTACATCAGATCAATTGTTCACATATTAGAGAGGCAGATTCTACTGTTTGCACCAGGTTGGTGTAGATTGGGGCCAATATTTGATTCTAAACAGTTCAGAGAAACTAGAATGATTCTTCAATATTGAGACACTAGAATGATTCTTCAATATTGAGACACTAGAATAATTATTCAATATTGAGACACGAGAATGATTATTCAATGTTGAGACACTAGAATGATTCTTCAATATTGAGACACTAGAATAATTATTCAATATTGAGACACGAGAATGATTATTCAATGTTGAGACACTAGAATGATTCTTCAATATTGAGACACTAGAATGATTCTTCAATATTGAGACACTAGAATGATTATTCAATGTTGAGACACTAGAATGATTCTTCAATGTTGAGACACTAGAATGATTCTTCAATGTTGTGACACTAGAAAGATTCTTCAATGTTGAGACACTAGAATAATTCTTCAATATTGAGATACTAGAATGATTCTTCAATATTGAGACACTAGAATGATTCTTCAATGTTGTGACACTAGAAAGATTCTTCAATGTTGTGACACTAAAATGATTCTTCAATATTGAGACACTAGAATGATTCTTCAATGTTGAGACACTAGAAAGATTCTTCTAATGTTGAGACACTAGAAAGATTCTTCTAAATTGAGACACTAGAAAGATTCTTCTAAATTGAGACACTAGAAAGATTCTTCAGTATTGAGACACTAGAATTGAGACACTAGAATGATTCTTCAATATTGAGAAACAAGAATGATTCTTCAATATTGAGACACTAGAATGATTCTTCAATGTTGTGACACTAGAAAGATTCTTCAATGTTGAGACACTAGAATAATTCTTCAATATTGAGATACTAGAATGATTCTTCAATATTGAGATACTAGAATGATTCTTCAATGTTGTGACACTAGAAAGATTCTTCAATGTTTTGACACTAAAATGATTCTTCTAAATTGAGACACTAGAAAGATTCTTCAGTGTTTCGACACTAGAATGATTTTTCAATGTTGAGACACTAGAAAGATTCTTCAATATTGAGACACTAGAATGATTCTTCAATGTTGAGACACTAGAATAATTCTTCAATGTTGTGACACAAGAAAGATTCTTCAATGTTGAGACACTAGAAGGATTCTTCAATGTTGAGACACTAGAATGATTGTTCAGTGTTTTGACACTACAAAGATTCTTCAATGTTGAGACACTAGAAAGATTCTTCAATGTTGAGACACTAAAAAGATTCTTCAATGTTGAGACACCAGAATAATTCTTCAATGTTGTGACACTAGAAAGATTCTTCAATGTTGAGACACTAGAATGATTTGTCAGTGTTGAGACACTAGAAAGATTCTTCAATGTTGAGACACTAGAAAGATTCTACAATTTTGAGACACTAGAAAGATTCTTCAATGTTGAGACACTAGAAAGATTCTTCAATATTGAGACACTAGAATGATTCTTCAATGTTGAGACACTAAAAAGATTCTTCAATGTTGAGACACCAGAATAATTCTTCAATGTTGTGACACTAGAAAGATTCTTCAATGTTGAGACACTAGAATGATTTGTCAGTGTTGAGACACTAGAAAGATTCTTCAATGTTGAGACACTAGAAAGATTCTACAATTTTGAGACACTAGAAAGATTCTTCAATGTTGAGACACTACAAAGATTCTTCAATATTGAGACACTAGAATGATTCTTCAATGTTGAGACACTAGAAAATTCTTCAATATTGAGACACTAGAATGATTCTTCAATGTTGAGACACTAGAATGATTCTTCATATTGAGACACTAGAATGTTTCCTCTTTTGAGACACTAGAATGGTTCTTCAATGTTGTGACACTAGAATGATTCTTCAATGTTGAGACACTAGAATAATTCTTCAATATTGGGACACTAGAATGATTCTTCAATATTGAGACACTAGAATGATTCTTCAATATTGAGACACTAGAATGATTCTTCAATATTGAGACACAAGAATGATTCCTTCAATGTTGAGACACTAGAATGATTCTTCAATGTTGAGACACAATGTTGAGAATTGATTCTTGAGACACTAGAATGATTCTTCAATATTGAGACACTAGAATGATTCTTCAATGTTGAAGACACTAGAATGATTCTTCAATGTTGAGACACTAGAATGATTCTTCAATGTTGAGACACTAGAAAGATTCTTCAATGTTGAGACACTAGAAAGATTCTTCAATGTTGAGACACTATGATTCTTCAATGTTGAGACACTAGAATGATTCTTCAATATTGAGACACTAGAATGATTCTTCAATGTTGAGACACTAGAAAGATTCTTCAATATTGAGACACTAGAATGATTCTTCAATGTTGAGACACTAGAAAGATTCTTCAATATTGAGACACTAGAATGATTCTTCAATGTTGAGACACTAGAATGATTCTTCAATATTGAGACACTAGAATGATTCTTCAATATTGAGACACTAGAATGATTCTTCAATATTGAGACACTAGAATGTTTCTTTAATATTGAGACACTAGAATGATTCTTCAATATTGAGACACAAGAATGATTCTTCAATGTTGAGACACAAGAATTATTCTTTAATATTGAGACACTAGAATGATTCTTCAATATTGAGACACTAGAATGATTCTTCAATATTGAGACACTAGAATGATTCTTCAATATTGAGACACAAGAATGATTCTTCAATATTGAGACACAAGAATGATTCTTTAATATTGAGACACAAGAATGATTCTTTAATATTGAGACACAAGAATTATTCTTTAATATTGAGACACAAGAATTATTCTTCAATATTGAGACACAAGAATGATTCTTCAATATTGAGACACTAGAATGATTCTTCAATATTGAGGCACAAGAATGATTCTTCAATTGTCTTTAATGTATCCAACTAACACTATGAGGTCTCACTTCAGTGAAGTTTCTCGATGACATTTTATAGGTTTCTCTTATTTTCTTTCTCTTTAGTGTCAAAATATGGACTGACCTGCTCAAAACTCTGAATTATGTTATCAGTTTGTTGATGTAAGTCCCTTACAATTCCAAATCGCTCCATGTTGTATCTCATACTTATATAAGCATTGCTCTGATTCTGTAGGTTCACATTTGGCCCCCGAGGATCGAATCATCTGTAAAATCTGCATGGAACGAGAGGTTGAGGTCACCTTCCAGCCTTGTGGCCATCTTGTTTGTTGCGAAGAATGCACCCATCAACTCCGAGAGTGTCCTGTTTGCCGGAGAACAATCCGATCCACAGTTCGCACATACTTAGCTTAACGCTTAAGTAAATTATGTGTAGAAAGTCAACATTGCAATGTGATATTTTAGTCCATGAGTTTAGGCTGACAGTTCCTCTCTACACTACCTGAGTCATGGCCTCTGATGTCAACTGTTGTGTACATGATATAGACACCACATGGTATGATCATAATATACTTTGTGCCGCTTCACATATCTGTTGTTGCCCAGTTTAACCAGCTTCTACACGGCACAGACAGCTTGTGTTTGTTTGTGTTTAGTCCACACCATATTGTGTTTTCTCAAACAAGGGCTTGCAACAGACTATATTCTTGCTGAAATCACTATTTCCAAGATAACCGACATTGAAGGTGAAGGTCACTTGTGGCAAACTAGCATGAACTATTGGTTACCTGGTTTCGAGGCTAGTTTCACCCTAGGAATATATCAAGTTAACAGGACTGTTCTACATCAGGTCCTGGGTTCGAGGCTAGTTTCACCCTGGTAATGTATCAAGTTAATAGGACTGTTCTACATCAGGTCCTGGGTTCAAGGCTAGTTTCACCCTAGTAACGTATCAAGTTAACAGGACTGTTCTACATCAGGTTGTGGGTTCGAGGCTAGTTTCACCCTAGTAACGTATCAAGTTAACAGGACTGTTCTACATCAGGTTGTGGGTTCGAGGCTAGTTTCACCCCAAGTTAACAGACTGTTCTATGTGGGTTATCAAGTTAACAGGACTGTTCTACATCAGGTCCTGGGTTCGAGGCTAGTTTCACCCTAAGTATCAAGTTATCAGGACTGTTTAACAGGACTGTTCTACATCAGGTCCTGGGTTCAGGTTGTGAGGCTAGTTTCACCCTAGTAACGTATCAAGTTAACAGGACTGTTCTACATCAGGTTGTGGGTTCGAGGCTAGTTTCACCACCCTAGTAATGTATCAAGTTAACAGGACTGTTCTACATCAGGTTGTGGGTGAGAGGCTAGTTTCACCCTAGTAGCGTATCAAGTTAACAGGACTGTTTACATCAGGTTGTGGGTTCGAGGACTGTAATGTATCAAGTTAACAGGACTGTTCTACATCAGGTTGTGGGTTCGAGGCTAGTTTCACCCTAGTACCCCCGTAATGTATCAAGTTAACAGGACTGTTCTACATCAGGTTGTGGGTTCGAGGCTAGAGGCTAACAGGAGTTTCACCCTGGTAATGTATCAAGTTAACAGGACTGTTCTACATCAGGTCCTGGGTTCGAGGCTAGTTTCACCCTAGTAATGTATCAAGTTAACAGGACTGTTCTACATCAGGTTGTGGGTTCGAGGCTAGTTTCACCCTAGTAATGTATCAAGTTAACAGGACTGTTCTACATCAGGTTGTGGGTTCGAGGCTAGTTTCACCCTAGTAATGTATCAAGTTAACAGGACTGTTCTACATCAGGCTGGCTAGTTTCAAGTAGCGTCATGGGTTTGAATCCCCACATAACAGGGTTCTACAATGAGTGAAGCTCTTTTCCCATTTCCCCCTCCGAGGCGTAAAACCAAACTCAGTCAGTCAGTCAGTCATCCCGGTAATGTATCAAGTTAACAGGACTGTTCTACTTCAGGTTGTGGGTTCGAGGCTAGTTTCACCCGGTAATGTATCAAGTTAACAGGACTGTTCTACATCAGGTTGTGGGTTCGAGGCTAGTTTCACCCTAGTAATGTATCAAGTTAACAGGACTGTTCTACATCAGGTTGTGGGTTCGAGGCTAGTTTCACCCCTATGTAACGTATCAAGTTAACAGGACTGTTCTACATCAGGTTGTGGGTTCGAGGCTAGTTTCACCCTAGTAACGTATCAAGTTAACAGGACTGTTCTACATCAGGTTGTGGGTTCGAGGCTAGTTTCATCCCGAAACGTCATGCTGAAGACCTAGGTTTGAATCCCCACATGGGTACATGAGTGAGTGAAGCCCATTTCTGGTGTCCCCCTCCGCGGCGTAAAACCAAACTCAGTCAGTCAGGCTAGTTTCATCCCGGTAATGTATCAAGTTAACAGGACTGTTCTACTTCAGGTTGTGGGTTCGAGGCTAGTTTCACCCCAGTAATGTATCAAGTTAACAGGACTGTTCTACATCAGGTTGTGGGTCGAGGCTAGTTTAGGCTAGTTTCACCCCAGTAATGTATCAAGTTAACAGGACTGTTCTACATCAGGTTGTGGGTTCGAGGCTAGTTTCACCCTAGTAATGTATCAAGTTAACAGGACTGTTCTACATCAGGTTGTGGGTTCGAGGCTAGTTTCACCCCTAGTAATGTATCAAGTTAACAGGACTGTTCTACATCAGGTTGTGGGTTCGAGGCTAGTTTCACCCTAGTAACTTCAGGTATCAAGTTAACAGGACTGTTCTACATCAGGTTGTGGGTTCGAGGCTAGTTTCACCCCGGTAATGTATCAAGTTAACAGGACTGTTCTACATCAGGTTGTGGGTTCGAGGCTAGTTTCACCCTAGTAACGTATCAAGTTAACAGGACTGTTCTACATCAGGTTGTGGGTTCGAGGCTAGTTTCACCCGGTAATGTATCAAGTTAACAGGACTGTTCTACATCAGGTTGTGGGTTCGAGGCTAGTTTCACCCTAGTAACGTATCAAGTTAACAGGACTGTTCTACATCAGGACTGGGCTAGTTTCACCGCTCCCCGGTAATGTCATCAAGTTAACAGGACTGTTCTACATCAGGTTGTGGGTTCGAGGCTAGTTTCATTAATCGTAATGTATCAAGTTAACAGGACTGTTCTACATCAGGTTGTGGGTTCGAGGCTAGTTTCACATGTATCAAGTTAACAGGACTCTACATACATCAGGTTGTGGGTTAACAGGACTGAGGCTAGTTTCAGTCCTAGTCATCCGGTGTGTATCAAGTTAACAGGACTGTTCTACTTCAGGTTGTGGGTTCGAGGCTAGTTTCACCCGGTAATGTATCAAGTTAACAGCACTGTTCTACATCAGGTTGTGGGTTCGAGGCTAGTTTCACCCCAGTAATGTATCAAGTTAACAGGACTGTTCTACATCAGGTTGTGGGTTCGAGGCTAGTTTCACCCCAGTAATGTATCAAGTTAACAGGACTGTTCTACATCAGGTTGTGGGTTCAAGGCTAGTTTAAATCCGGTAATGTTTCTCGCTTTGTCTGAGAGTGACTCTTAGAGGGCTGGTTTGAATGACACTGATCAAAGTCACTGATCAAACCCAAACAGTTCTAGAATCTGTTCTGAGAATAAGTAACCTCCTATATAACATATGTTACGTTGTGTTTGTACATATGACTCTGCCCACTGTCAATATTTAACGCCCTCCCTCAAAGTTTTGTCAGGATCTAAAAACAGGTTTTGGGCATGACGTTCAAACCATTCAATATCTCTTTGTTAAACTTTGTATCAGGCATCCAATGAGATAGAGTCTTTCATTATAAAGGAATATCTAAAAGAACTGTTTTGCTTTTCCTAAGCAAACATTGGACTCAGTTTCAAATACAATTTGTTTTTGAAGGGAATATGTCTTAAACCATTAAATGTTTCTATATATTTCTTGTAAGAACATCAGATGTTATCTAGTGAACAAAGATAGGACCATGAAGATGTATATTTATGAAACCTGTTTTTCTTCAGTAAAGATCCTCCTCCCCTGCTGGAGCCCCAGGTTGAAGCAGATCCGGGCTACCAAGGCTTGTTTTCAACATAATGAATGGCACAGTCAGATTTACTGAATGGTTCATTGTTTACTTCACATTCTTCTGTTGAGTTTATTTTTGTGTGTTCTTTTGTATATATTGAAAATAATATACACATTAATTTATTACTAGTTGCATCCTGGTCCAGTAGCATTTAAAGCCCAGAGGGCATTCCAATGGTAATGTCAGTTGTATGGACAAGCCTAGGACTGATCATTACTCTGGACCTATCTGAGGGGGCAGGGAAAACAGTCGTTGTCCTCTGCAACATCATACCTTGATTTATAGTACATAGTATGGGAGTCACAAAGTACATGCCTCCGCCTGCGTGATTGTGTCGAGACCAGGTGATCTTCAGTCACAAGGCATCACTCTTTTATATTGTGTCGTGACTGGGTGATCTTCAGTCACAAGGCCTCTGCCTGTTTGATCGTGTCGGGACCAAGTGATCTTCTGTCACAATGCCTTCGGAACCAGGTGATCTTCAGTCACAAGGCCTCAACCTTTTATATTGTGTCGGCACTCGGCGATCTTCAGTCACAAGGCCTCTTCCTGTTTGGTGTCGGGACCAGATGATCTTCAGTCATGATGCATCTTCCTGTTTGATTATGTTAGGACTGAGTGATCTTCAGTCTATGTGCATGATGATGGCACATGGCGATGTGAGTCAGTCTATGTACATGATGATGGCACATGGCGATGTGAGTCAGTCTATGTACATGATGATGGCACATGGCGATGTGAGTCAGTCTATGTACATGATGATGGCACATGGTGATGTGAGTCAGTCTATGTACATGATGATGGCACATGGCGATGTGAGTCAGTCTATGTACATGATGATGGCATATGGCGATGTTGATCAGTAGGCTTGTGATACAGGGTTTACCTGGCTGTTTTAAGGGTCACTCACTTGGTGTCAGAAGTGAAAGACATGTTGTTGTTTCTGTTAAACAAAGATGTGTGCTCTTTTATTGGTTTCAACAGGGCTGCATTTATGGAAAGCCACAGAGTTTGTTTCATTACCAAGCAAGATATTACCTTCACATCTTTGTATCTGTTAAGCTAGAGATCCATACATTGAGTAAACTGGTATACCTCATTCTCTACCACCCTGTCTAACCACATCAGTTTGGAAATGACAAGTGTTGATTATATGAGACTTATAGCTATTTCATTTCCTTAAAACATTTTGATATATGATACAGCTTCTACTTTTGAAACTTTAAAGATGCTGACATTAAAAAAGGGTGATTGTAATCAGTTAGATGTCATTTGTACGCTCACGGTAATTGTGGGTGTTCTCACACTTCAAGGACCATATACTGGGGGTGAGTGAGTTTAGTTTTACACCGCACTCAGCAATATTCAAGCTATATGGCAGCAGTCTGTAAATAATCAAGTCTGGACCGGATAATCCAGTGATCAACAGCATGAGCATCGATCTGCGCAATTGGGAACCGATGACATGTGTCAACCAAGTCAGCGAGCCTGACCACCCGATCCCGTTAGTCGCCTCTTACGACAAGCATAGTCGCTTTTTGTGGCGAGCATGGGTTGCTGAAGACCTATTCTACCCCGGATCTTCACGGGTCGGACCATATACTGCTTCAAAAAGAGACCATAAACTGCTTCTAACAGAACCGTTATATGGCTGTGTTTACACAATGGCATGTGATTGCTTGACTTTGAAAACCGAGGCCAATGAATGTGTTCTCACATGCCATGACCTTTGCTCCATGGGTCCCAACAGTTAGGTCCCAACAGTTAGGTCCCAACCCATGACTAGCTCCAATAAGGAAGGAATGCATGTTCTGAACTCCGACTAGTTGTTTTCTTGTGTGTATCTCTGTTTATCTCTGGTGTGTCTGTACCAGGTTCGACCTCACTCTGCAGCACGGGAAGGCTGACAATGGAAGACTTGTCACTCCTCCGAGTACAGAATATTAGTCATGCAACAAAATGTCTCATTTTTCCTCATTACTCATCAAGGAATCTTTCTTTATGATTTCATATTTTGCTGGGTTTTTTTATGTGTTAAGACATTTACCAAATTCTGTCCAAACTTATAAAGTACAATGTGTAAATCCCATATCTGATGTCTCCTGCTAAGATATTGCTGGAATATTGCAGAAAGCAGCGTAAAACTAAACTCACTCATAATGGAACAAGACCTTAATTTTGGGATGAGACTGAATATTCTATGTGTCAGGTGGCACTAAAGACGTATTGTAAAATCTCCGGAAATATCATAGTCTATGTATAGTGTGTCATTCTGTCTTTGTCGAGAGGTCATCTACCTTGTCACATATACACTCTTTTCGTTTGTCCGATACTCCAAAGAAACGGGGCATGGTGTCTGTGTGTGCACCAGATGGATACCAGCCTGTCACAGAACAAGACGTGTAATGTTGTTTGCAATAAACATATGTCAACTGTTCAGTCTGTGTGTCTCTTGAAGTTGATACAAAACGGTGACTAGTATTTGGGTTGATTTTACTTAATAATCATCACCGCAAACATTGCTGGCAATAGCCCATCCATTACATAATTGTGGAGAAACCCAGAGTATACAAACGTGCAACTACCCCTAAACATCTGGGTTAGAATTGATCTTCAGTAACCCATGCCTGTAGTAATAGACTAACGGGATCGGGTGGTCAGGCGCGCTGACTTGGTTGACACATGTCATCGGTTACCAATTGCGCAGATCGACGCTTATGTTGTTGATCACTGGATTGTCTGGTCCAGACTCGATTATTTACAGACCGCCGCCATATAGCTGGAATATTGCTGAGTGCGGCGTAAAATTAAACTCACTCACCAACAAACTTACAACAGTGGTTACTGATGGCGACAGGCAGTATTTGCAGTCTGGGATCTGATGGTGGTTGGTTCGAAGCCTTGATGTGTGTCCTTAAATAACTATGACCTGCATCACTGTGGGATCTTCTTAGAGCTTTGGTTGAGATGTTTTGTGGGTAATAGTTTTCACCCAAACCATTGAGAGTTATTCCCCTCAGTAGGAGGCGGGAGGTTTGTGTACTGACTATACTAAGGGGCTTACAGTGATGAAGCCTTCCCGAACCAAAATTGTCGGTTTGTTCCTTCGTTTCAGCTTACGTGATGCAACTAAGATAATGTTGAAATTGGCATCATCCCAACTTCTGTACTACCGACTGCGGCAGACTTGAGTCACATGACCAGGTAATGGGTTCAAGTAGTCTCTGACCAGAACTACTGTGTGTGTGGTGACTTGGTCTCGTCGCAATATGGCTGAAACAATGCCGATGTGACGTCACATTTTAACTCACTCACTGACCAGAACCCCAAATCACGTCAAAGTCTTCTCTGGTGGTTTAGGTTAGGTGAAAGTGGGTCTTGTTGGCTCGTGGTGAGATCTAGGTTAGGTCTCTCTTCTCTCTCTCTCTCTCTCTCTCTCTCTCTCTCTCTCTCTCTCTCTCTCTCTCTCTCTCTCTCTCTCTCTCTCTCTCTCTCTCTCTCTCTCTCTCTCTCTCTCTCTCTCTCTCTCTCTCTCTCTCTCTCTCTCTCTCTCTCTGTGTGTGTGTCTGTCTGTGTGTGTGTGTGTCTGTGTGTGTGTGAAAAAGAGAGAGATTGATTGATTACCGGACTTAAGACCCTTCGCTGAACATTGTTTGTACAACACTTGTTTCATAACGTTTGCTGGAACAGCAACTGGAAGGACCCGAGTTTCATTACATAACATTCATTGAATGCTAAGTCAGTTGATGCTATAGAACTCTGATCTTCTCCACGTTTATTGCATTCATTAGATACTTGTAGAAACAGTATGATTTAATCTCTTCCTCTGATACCAACCCCAACAGCCAAATACAACTATCTTGTTTGTTTATTATGGACTTAACCCACTAAGTGATTCCTTCGCTTCAGTTACACGCCATCTGCCATCCAGAAGGGGACACTGAAAGCACCAATACTTCATGCGGAACAAAATGCAAAGTGGCATAATAACTTTTACGACTGTCCAAAATCTAGACACATATGGAACCAATTTTCCAATTAAATAAAAACAAAAACAGATATCACATTGAATATCAAATTTACTCATTTTAAAATCCAAGCATATATTTGTACACCAAGTTTCGATATGATCAGAAAGGAAATAAGTAAAATTTACAATATCGACAGAACACATGCCATCTCTTCTTGTAACTTTACCGAATTTGTTTGATTCTGGTCTGATTTCCATCAACTGTTTGATTGATACTAACGTACAACTGATCTTTTTTCCTACAATGTCTTTTGTTATGATATGCTTGTCACTGTGAGATACCGCCAAACTCTGCATACAAAAGCATGGTATATATTTGGTTGTGATTTGATGTCATGTTTTTGTATCTAAAAAAAGAGAATAACTATGATAACGTGTTTACATTTTTAGATAGATAGTGGTGATGAATCAGTACACATGTATAGATGTGACCAATGTTGCCTGTAATGGTACTGGGCTCTGCCTGGATCATGATAACATTGAGATAAGGGGAAGGGGGTCAGCGATCAGCCTTGTCCAGGTGTGCGACATATGGCGTGTGAACTAAATGGGGCCACCACAACACTAAATAACATCTTGCACCCTCGGTTTGGATTCACTACGGTGCATTTAATCATTATACAAAATGATAAAATGTTAACCATTACCGTTACCTCAAAGAGCTGACAACTCCAGTGAAGATAATGTGTGACTCCGAGGAGAATGGCGGCTACACTGACCTGTCCATAGATGACAAATGGATAAATGTCTTACCAACATTTCACATCCCAAATTAGCTGATAGGTGTGAGATGTTAACATAAAATAGACATTAACATGCATATGAATAACAGTGGCATCATGGACAGAAGGTAAAATCGACATTTAGACCTGACATCTAACAGCAGTAGAAGCTAGTAATATTAAGCCCTATACGGGACGCGTCTTACATGCCTTGGAAGGGGAGGGGATGTTAGATAAATATGTACTATCAAGTTCAGACGGACCATATTTGATAAAGGACTGTGTCCACTAGTACTACCACACTGGCTAGTGTTCTAGTCTGTGGTCAATGTCCATAATTAGCACACATCCGTCACATCAACATCTGACGGGACGGCCGTTAGCCAGTGCTTTGACTACACCGTCGCATGAACAAACACTTTACATACACTATGACAACGTATAAACCATAGGGCACGATAATGGCAACTTGGACAAACAATCAGCTTCACTATGAGTGTTGTCTGCACAATGTCATGTTGTAATGACCACTTTAAGTTTAACCATCACTCGTCCACTGGTCAACCTTAGGGGGGTCGCACATGCCCGCATCGGGAGCAGGTTAGAATTTTGAGTATGATCATTCTTGGCACAAAGAGACACGTGACCTGTGGAGCAGACGACAGGTGTGCATATTGAGAACACGAACAGAAGATATTTGCACGGCTTAAAATTCTCACGACCCCTGTGCGCACAAGACGTAATGATAAAAGCTAGAAATGATGACCGCTAACTCTCACGACCCCTGTGTGCACATGAAGTAAAAATTAAACCTAGAAATGATAACCGCTAACTCTCACGACTTTTGTGTGCACATGATGTAATAATTAAAGCTGGAAAGGATGACCACTAAATCTCACGACCCTTGCGTGCAAATGACGTAATAATTTAACGTTGAAAGTTGAAGCAGATATGAATTTAGATTGGCTCTACTTGTAGTGGACTATGTATGACGGCAGTATCCGGGAAGTGTCGAAGATGACGAGCTCCTTGCCGCATGCTGATGTGTGGGAGTCGTAGCCTGAATGTACACTACTGCCCTGTGTGAAGCTGGAGATCGTGTACGTCTGAAAACAACAAATGGCCATCAAAACCGACAAAAGCTTCAGTCGGATGAGTAAAAGCGTGAGGGAATGGTGAATGATGTCAGAAACATTCCCGATGGAATGAGGCGACAGATGATGACAGAATCTGGACCAGACACTCAGTGACTGTAACCATCCGCAGTGATCTACGCCATCAGGCACGAAGACACGCAACCATGAGGACGCCAGTCCCTCATACAGCGCTATGATTGTTAGTTCTAAGACAAGGTGCAGAATACGTCTGTGTAGGATTTTCTAGCATTTTTGTCTTAGGAGGGGATCAGCTGTCGCCTCTCATCTGACATTACAGCTCCAGCCACAAGAAGATCAGCATGGTATGTGGTGATCATTACACCCTGGGAACACTGCTAGCCTTTCGTCCAAGTTGGAATACTGGTGCCGAGATGTGACTAATACCATCAGTGCCTTTATTGCTATAATGTGTACTGCTATAATGTGTACTGCTATAATGTGTACTGCTATAGTGATACCTTTGTAGGGATTTGTAGGGGCGGTGGGGTAGCCCAGTGGTTAAAGCGTTGGCTCGTCACGCCGAAGACCCGGGTTCGATTCCCCACATGGGCACAATGTGTTAAGCCCATTTCTGGTGTCCCCCGCCGTGATATTGCTGGAATATTGCTAAAAGCGGCGTAAAACTAAACTCAGTCAGTCAGTTGTAGGGATTTGTACCGATTTGTGAATTTCGTTAATTTTAGAACACGACTGTTAATTGCACTCATTGCATCCCATTCTTGTTTGTTGGTTAGACAAGTGCTTTAACGAACTGATTGCCTGTTTACGTTTTACTCTCAACTTGACAATCAACACGGAACAACAATGAAAAAACTCAGCACATTCCCCTTATTTAGATTAATCAAGCTACAGCGTAGTGTTGTGATTGTCATGGTGATCTTGTTACCTTTCCAAGCAGGACCTTGCACAGCAGCAGCTTGGTGGAGCCCCGGATGTAGCGCATGGAGTAGTCCGGGAACTCGCTGAAGTAGACGCCGTTGCCGTACTTGTTGCCGGACTTCATCTGGAACCCGGCATCGCCTGGCAACACAAAGTCAACATGGCAGAGTCAGCAACATTTACCTCTGGTTCTGTTCAACACTAATAACTACTTACAACGTCTAAGACCCTGAGAGAAGAAGTAGATATAAGTATATATGTATTTCTGAGAGTCCACGAAGTATGCCTTTACTTGTGAGTATCCCTGGACATGTGTGTGAAGGAAGGTATGTGCATGAAGGCTGGAGATCAACTTACCATGCTTGAGGAATCCCTTCTCGCAGATCTTTGTGATGTTTCCCTCATCAGTTCCATGGAAAGCCAGGATGGGCTGTGCGTTCATCTCGCCGCGAGACTTCTTCAGGGATTCCTGTGCGGATCTAGAAGCAGAGTAGAAAAACCGATAAACGTCAAAACAAATAATCCGAAAAAATAAGGAGTCACCAAATAAGTTCAACAGAACATGACATACTGACGTACCCAAACAGCCTCACTAAATAAGATGTCATCATATTTCAACACAGTACCTTAAAACTGACATACCTGAACCGCCTCACCAAATCAGGAGTCACCACGTATTCAACTTTCACAACCTTGTATCTGAAACACAAACAGATCGTTCATTTCGTACTCCATTAAGACTACCAATGTTTTAAGGGTGATTCTAAAGGTCATTTCTGGCCACAATAAATGATCATGCGCTAGTTGTTAGGACAGCGGTTACTGTCACTGACCTCCCTCCCTGGTTACTCAGCAGCCTGTAGAACTGGGACTCGGCAGTCCTGAAGTGGAGGTCTTCTGCTGTCCCCTTGAAGTTCCTCTCGGGTGTGATGGGGAAGTAGACGGTGGTGGAGCCATCCAGAGCCTCCTTCTCACCGTCCACGTACCGGCCTAGACCCGACGGCGCCCCCTACCGAGCACAAGCAGAGTTACACAGAGCACTAGCAACTATATCATTTCTCACACACAGGTTTTGCATATTCAGAAATATAGTTATACTGGTCACTTTAAGCCCTGGTATAGACAGAGCTATAGCTATACCACCGGTCACATTTAGCTTTCAAACAAACAGAATATCTGCCATATTTCGAAATCCTACTTAAGTTCATACATTACCCACATAATTTTACTTCAGTGTTTACAAAACTTTGACAAAACGTTCGAAAACAAAACCATTGACCATTTATGTATAATAAATACACATCTATAGCATCCCGTGCCAAGGTGTAGATGCATTGGTGTAACGCATATGTAGAGTATATGCCTCACACCTGAAAACGACAGGATTGGGTGATTACGATGGGTGAGCTACTTGTGGAGTGGATCGTCATCCTTCCATGTACGGGTATTCCTGTCCACAAGTCCAAAGTGCAGGCCGCCCTGCTCAGCAAGAATATCCTTGCACTTCAATATTCACTCTTACATAGTTACATACCGTTGCGTATGGGCGATTAGAGTTCATAACCTTGTTCTTCTCTCCACATACAATAACTGCTGACGTTTCGAATATTCCCCTCTCTTTTACCTTCAGTCGTAATGACCTCTTGTTGGGGTCAGCCTATAAACTTACCTTTTCCATTCGATGGATAGTCATTGGTTTGCCTCCCCCGGCAGGATATTCCAGCTTGGCTTCCAAGTCGACCTTGTACTTCCGTCCCTTGAAGTCCTCTATCTCAAGCGTCTTTACTTTATCATTACGGGCCTTCTCAAGTTGACAGTTGATGCCTGGCGAGAAGGGTGTGCTGCGTCCCTTTTCGTCCACATACACCCACTGCACCAGCTGGGCTAATGTGCTCGCCTCCCTCTGCATCAGGAACTTCTTCTGCAAAGTCTGCAGCTTCTCCACAATGATATCATGGGCTGCCGACACCAACCGGACTAGGCCTGTCAAAGTCAAGCCTTCTGCTGTCTTGGAGAGTGCAACCCCATTGTCGTCTGCAACTCGGTACAGAGCGGACACCTGGCGGGAAGACATGGAACTAATCATTGTGCATTTAGGTCTTCTGTATTGATGTGGTTGTGTAAAGAAAGGAACAAATTTTGTATCAAATCCTAAACGTTCATCAACGTAACAATTAACCATGCGTTTTAAATAAAGATGAAGTAGGCCAATGCCTGCCATATTTGAATGAAAATAAGTCAACGCTGACCAGAATAAAACGTTTGCTCAACGATTTAACGTAAGAAGCAAACTTGGTCAGCGATTATAACATCACAACGAAATTAGGTCCGCGATTACAACATCGGAACGAAACTAGGTCAACGTCCTCCGTTTTAGAATACAACGTGATAAACGCCCACCTCCTTGGCTTTCAGTTTGCCTATGAATTCATTCCAAGACTTGGACAGCGGCTTGTGATCAAACTCCTCCTTGCACAAGGTCGTAATCCTCTTCTTAGCTGCTTCAGCATGCTTCTTCTCGTCGGTGTAGATGCAGAGGATCACGCTGTCGTCGATGTGTTTGTTGCTGGTGTCAATAACACCAACGTCTGGGGACTCGTGACGTGAAGGTTTCGATCTTCGACGTGACATTTTACTTCTTCCGCCTCGATCACCTACAAACAAAATCCTCCGGCTAAGTAACGTGGCTCATCTTCCTTTGGGTGTTTAACAGCAATATCACCCCTCCAGCAATCTTAAAGATATGACCTCTCAGAGTGAGTGCTCGTGCCGAGTTCATACCACCAAACTATCCGACCCACCTACATGTCAAGCCCCTTGATTAGTCAAAGACCATGCTGTTCCAATATTTAACCCACTTACCCCTTGTCCTATGTGTGGGGAGGGATGGACGGCCGCCAGCAAACACTGTCCTGAAACTGTTCACCATCTCCTCCTGGAAGATCACCACTCGCACCTGGCTCAGGCTCGGAGCGGGGTGGCTGGCTCCGTACTTGTTGATGGCATCATAGATGGCGCCTGCCATCTTCTCGGGTGATTGCTTGAGCCCGCCTGCACAGAACCCAACTGAGAGATAGAATGACCTCACAAATCATGAAATCGGTGTTCATGATCCACCTGACGAAATAAATACATTTACTCTAACATGGTACTGACATGGTCGACATGCCCTACTTGTTCACCCAGTCCATACACTAACTCACCTGTACCTAAAGCAGGTACTGACATGGTTGACATGCCCTTCTTGTTCACCCAGTCCATACACTGACTCACCTGTACCTAAAGCAGGTACTGACATGGTCGACATGCCCTACTTGTTCACCCAGTCCATACACTGACTCACCTGTACCTAAAGCAGGTACTGACATGGTCGACATGCCCTACTTGTTCACCCAGTCCATACACTGACTCACCTGTACCTAAAGCAGGTACTGACATGGTCGACATGCCCTACTTGTTCACCCAGTCCATACACTGACTCACCTGTACCTAAAGCAGGTACTGACATGGTCGACATGCCCTATTTGTTCACCCAGTCCATACACTGACTCACCTGTACCTAAAGCAGGTACTGACATGGTCGACATGCCCTACTTGTTCACCCAATCCATACACTGACTCACCTGTACCTAAAGCAGGTACTGACATGGTTGACATGCTCTTCTTGTTCACCCAATCAATACACTGACTCACCTGTGCCTAAAGCAGGTACTGACATGGTTGACATGATCTACTTGTTCACCCAATCAATACACTGACTCACCTGTACCTAAAGCAGGTACTGACATGGTCGACATGCCCTACTTGTTCACCCAATCCATACACTGACTCACCTGTACCTAAAGCAGGTACTGACATGGTCGACATGCCCTACTTGTTCACCCAGTCCATACACTGACTCACCTGTACCTAAAGCAGGTACTGTAAAATCTTGTGTAAAGACTGGTAATTGTAAAACTGATATGCTCTCAACAAGTTCTGGAGTACGTCAAGGCTGCATTTAAAGCAGGTACTTTCATCTTTTTTATAAATGAACTTGTTGCAGAAATATATAAATCCTGTAAACATGGTGTGTTTATATCTCAAGACATTGATGATATTATGATGTTACTTTTTGCTGATGATGTAAATATGTTTTCCTATACAGTTAATGGTTTACAGCAACAACTTAATGTTTTGCATCAATTTTGTATTACTTGGGGTTTGAGTGTTAATATTGAGAAAACTAATATTATTGTGTTTAGAAATGGAGGTGTGTTAAAAAAGGATGAGGTATGGTATTTTGGTAATACAAGGCTGAAATGTGTTTCGTATTATAAATATTTGGGTTTAATGTTCTCATCCAGACTAAACTGGTCAACAGCCTGTAAACATTTATCTGTTCAAGCATCAAAGGCTATGCAATCTGTATATCAGTTATTCAAAAAGAATTCTTTTATTTATTTCAAAACTGCCTGTACCATCTTTGATTGTAAGATTTTACTGATTCTTTTATATGGGTCCGAAATCTGGGGAACTAAATATTTTCATTGTATAGAAAAGGTTCATGCATCATATTTTAAATGCTTCCTAAATTTGGGAAAGTATGCTTCAAATAAGGCTGTACTAGGGGAAACTGGTCGTTGCAATATATTTGTACTCACCAGATTACGAGTAATAAAATTTTGGCTGAAATTATTAAAAATGGATTCTTATAGGTACCCAAGGCACCCAAGGCAAAGTTATATTTTCCTAAAGCTACAAGATGATATTGGCAAGCCTAATTGGGCATCAAAGGTTAGACAGTTACTTTTTCGACAAAAATGTAATTTTTAGAGTAAAATTGATATTTTATACTTATCCTGACTCATGCTTATTGCTTGTCTTCTTCTTCTTGCGAACATAGTGGAACACGTGTATCTCCCAATTGAAGTTCCCTTCAATAAAGAAATCACTAATTAGTACTCACCACGAGTTACCTCCCTTGCCCAAGCGCGGGAACGAGGGCGCCACCTCAACCCATGTGCCTCACTCTCTCCTCATATACTGAGCCCAACACTTGAATTTCCAGGGAAATCCAAAGTGTTATGTGGGGAGGATGGGAGGGCTTACCTCATGAGTCAGGATAAGTATAAAATATCAATTTTACTCTAAAAATTACATATTTTTCCTTATCCTGACTCATGCTTATTGCTTGTAGAATCCGACGGAAAGGAGGTGGGAATATATAATACTTTGGATTTTAATAATTAGTGATTTGAACTGTGAAGATTGTAATAACCCTATGGGAACTTCATAAAGGCACTGAACTGATGAATTCCTGCTGCTAACTTATCAGCTGCCATATAAAGGTTATTACAATTTACTTATTATGATAAAAGTATATATAACATTAATACAATGCTTAAGACTAATAGACTTAAGCTTGTTAATATGATAGCATAAACTCCTTAGAGTTTGTTAGCTAAAATACTTTTATGATATAAACATAGTACTGAGGTTAAGATATGATTAAACTTAAGCTAAATATATAATAGCAAAAACACTCTTTAGAGTTTGTTAGCTAATATACTTATATGATATAAACATAGTACTGAGCTTAAGATATGAATAAAACTTAAGCTATATATATAATAGCAAAACTTAGTAGAGTTTGTTAGCTAATATATTTTATCCGTATAGTACTGTGCTTAAGATATAATTAACTTAAGCTACCTTATAGCAAAAAAAAACTCCGTAGAGTTTGTTAGCTAATACATTTTATAATGTAACCATAATGCTTAAGATATGATGAAACTTAAGCTAAATATATAATAGCAAAAACTCTTGAGAGTTTGTTAGCTAATATACTTATATGATATAAACATAGTACTGAGCTTAAGATATGAATAAACTTAAGCTACATATATAATAGCAAAAACTCCTTAGAGTTTGTTAGCTAATACATGTTATAATGTAACCATAATGCTTAAGATATGATGAAACTTAAGCTAAATATATAATAGAAAAAACTCTTGAGAGTTTGTTAGCTAATATACTTATATGATATAAACATAGTACTGAGCTTAAGATATGAATAAACTTAAGCTACATATATAATAGCAACAACTTCGTAGAGTTTGTTAGCTAATATATTTTATGCTATGAGTATAGTACTGTGCTTAAGATATAATTAACTTAAGCTACATATATAATAGCAAAAACTCTGTAGAGTTTGTTAGCTAATACATTATAATGTAACCATAGAACTGAGCTTAAGATATGATTAACTTAAGCTAAATATATAATAACAAACTCCGTAGAGTTGTTAGCTTATATATAGTATGATATAAAAACCATAGTACTGAGCTTAAGATAATAAATTAAACTTAAGCAAAATATATAGATAGCATGTATCTATTAGTACTGTTATCAGATAAGTATAAAATCTGTAAGATAGACTTATCTTCTCCGTGGAACTGTCAACTGTTGAGCGAGGACCATGGGACCGAAATGGTGGATACCTGAGACGTCCTTGGTGGTGATATCTCTCAGATAGTGGTTGGCAAACACCATATCGGATCTCCAGAAACATCCCTCCATTATGGTATTCAATGAGCAATTCCCATGTAGAGCGAGAGTTGAGGCTAGCGTTCTAATTTCGTGAGGATTAGAAGCTCTAGGAGGGTCGAGTCCTGCAGCCTTGTAGGCTCGTAGTATGACAGTTCTGATCCAGATAGAGATCGTAGTACGTGAGACTTCCGTCTGCAAAGCTGTAGATATAGGGATAAACAATCTCTTGAATTTCCCTCTGGACTGTTTGGATCATTGGAGATATATTTTCAGTGCACGTACATAGTGATAGATCCATCGTATCATGCAGTTCAAGTATGGATGAGAGAGCTGGGACATGGAATAATCTGTCTGGCTGACCTGGCAGTTGGGGTTTTTTTTGTTTTTTTTTTTTTATAAAATCCCAGCGAAGTCCCAGATGAGCTATGTTATGAATATCATCAAAGCGTGTTCTCTCGTAATCCAGAGCGTGAATTTCTGACATCCTGGCGGCCGTAGCTAGTGCTAACAGGAACAAGGTTTTGTGGGTCAGTGATTCAAACGATGTAGATAGCGATGGTTCATAAGCCTCACTAGTGAGGTGTTGGAGCACTATATTTAGATCCCAGGCTGGAGCTTGAAACTTCCGTTTCTGATCTTCCAATCGGAACGCTCGTAACAAAGCGAGTAACTCTGGTGTTTTTGTCAACTTGACGCCCGTTCTCATAGTTATGACAGAACTTATAGCTGCAATATAAGTGGACAAGGATGAGCCTTTTAGATTCTTAGTTTGACGTAGATAACATAAGAAATCTGCCACTTGAGGATGTGTAGCATATCTGGCTGTAAATCCTTTCTTAGCAGCGTAATTGACAAAACTGTGCCATTTGTCATCGTAAAAGTTACGAGTTGAGTTACGTAGTGCAAGCGTGACCGCTTTAGCCACTTTGGCAGAATAACCTCTCTTATTCAGACATGCCTTGATACAATCCATGCGTGAAGTTGGAATGCTTCTGGTGTTTCGTGCACTTGTTTGGTGTGCGGATGTATCAATAGATTGGTGCGTTGTGGGAGCTGAAGAATTGGTTTTCCGATTTCTTGTATGAGATCTGGAAACCAAGTTCTCGCTAGCCAGTAGGGCGTGACGAAATCAGATGGAGGCTCTGCATTTGACTGATTTTCTGTAAGACTTGCTTAATGCGTCCGTTGCCCATGCTTGGGTCTGCACTGGCGAAACGAATGTTGTCCGTTGTTGCTTGTTGAATCGAGTGGCGAATAGGTCTATCAGAGGAGATCCTATTTCCATGATTATTTGATTGAATATCTCTGTGTGGAGTATCCATTCTGTCGGCGACGGTTGGTGTGGCCGAGAGAGAGCATCTGCTAATACATTCTATGCTCCTGGAATGTGGCAAGCTCTGACGTGTATGTTTAGATTGTCGATTAGATCGAACAGTCTGAAACATCGAGTCAGTAGGTTCTGTGACCTTGTTGAACCTTGTTTGTTCACATAAATAACGCCACTGTTGAATTGTCTGTGTGAACCATCAACTGAGCGTTCTGTAGTAGGTTGCTCCAGTGACTTATGGCGTTTATAACTGCTTGCATCTCTAGCAGATTATGTGACATTTGCTCTCTTGATTGCTCCATAGACCTGACGCTGTCCTGCCGGCAAGGTGGGCTCCCCAACCTTGTAGTGACGCGTCTACGTAGAGATGTGTTATCGATTCCGGCTCTACTACGGAGACGCCTGCGCAAACATTCAATCTCTTGGTCTTGATGATGCAATTCAACTTTAGTCTGAGACGCTGTGGATTTGGATCCACTTGTATCCCGTCGTCGAGGTAAATTCGCTGCGAAGTCCTTGACGATGTAGGTGCACAAACAGGGTTGACTGCCATCGTTGAACTTTATGTAAAAAATCGCCTGACTGCCGTGCCCTCGTCCTTACTTGACAGGGGAGGTCTCAAACCTCAAAAGGCAGCCCAATCATGAAGGTTCAGATTAGCTGGACTGTAAGGAGGCTTGCTCGTTCACTGATATAATGTTGTCACTTGCAACCTATGTCTTGAACTGTGAACTATGCTCGACCTCTGTGTAGGGCGTTGTCCATCGCGGTCCAATCAGAACAAGGCATTTTGATTCTGTAGAGTACCCGCGCTGTGATGTCACCGGTGTAGCAGGAAAAGGAACCTTGTATAATATAGTGCCGTCGTTGATATTAGAACAATCGTCGGTCTTCACCGTAGCTTCCCGAAGTTACCCGAGTAACCATGTGTTTCGAGGGTTAATGGTAAACGCGTGAAACCTCCGGCGCGAAATACCTCGCTCTGTAATATTAATGCTGGGTAGGTTATTTTCCTGGCTGTCGTGAAAGTAACTTCAGTCTTGAAGATAATTCCGACTTCCTTATATAAAGGTTCAATAAAACTTGCAAGTTGTCAGCTTGTAGACTGTATACATGAATGTATCGTCATAATTGTAGAATTAAAGCTGAACTTGTTGTACATATTTCTTCTCAGGAAATCGTTGACGATATGAGTTTTATTCGCTGTAACAAGGCTGCTGTTCAATTCCGAAATTGAATTGCCTGCAGATCTGCGTTTGGGCTTCGAAGATTTGGAGCAGGCTGTATCCAGATTAGCTGGTACCGCTGCAATCGGGTCAATAGGAGGTAAGGTGAAATAGTCTACATCATCATCCTTCATGACGTAAGTCTGAGTTGAATTCTCGTTCTTCGATGGGAAAACAAGTTGTAACTCATTCACCATCCAGTATCTAATCTCAGCATCTGTGAAAATGATACTTTCCTCCTCTTCTGACGTAGGGTCACATGTCGGAGTCCTAGATCTATAGGAAGATCTATGAGAGGACTGTGATGAACGGACTGACGAGTGGCTAGTGTACGGAGATCTTGGAGTAGACATCCTTCGCGAATGCTGGGGGGCTTCGCGAAGCTCTTCTAGGCGAGGTAGAATTGGAGCCACTTAGCCTTTGCGACCTTCGCGAATGTATCGAGTCAGTGTCCGTATCGACATATGAGCGCTTGCTTCGCGAACGACCTCTGTGATGTACAGGGTGTGGGCTCGGCGAAGCGCTCCTTCTCCGCGAAGCCTCTCGCAATAGTTGAGGCTCTAGCTCCTTCGCGGAGGCGGCCTGGGACTTCCTATGCGAAGTGCTCGCTCCAAGCTGGGATGCCCTTCGCGGAGGCGCGTTTGTGGGCTCTGGGGCCCTACGCGAAGCCAAGGCGGGCTCTGGGGCCCTGTATGACTTAATATGGGTTGGGCTCTGGGGCCCGTGGCTCTGGGGCCTCTGTAAACCGTAACGGTCCTCCATCAGCCTCATGATTTGGTTGACCAGGTCGTCTGAGGCGGTCTGCGCTGACGATGAGGGTGGCCTCTCTGTGAAAGTGACGGGACCCTCAGTCATAACCTCTGGTGTCAGCGTAGGCATCTCTGGTTGCGTGTTAATCTGCGCTGAGGTGACAGTCGCAGATACAGGACGTTTCTTATGACGAACATCTGGAATGATAATCGGAATGTCATCATCATATAAAGATAATTCTGTGACAGGTAAAATATCGGAGGCAAAATCATTAGATTTTGTAGATTTCCCTTTTGACGTAGCTGTAGACCTGGGGGTTCGAAGCGTACGTGATGATATGGACGCTTTCCTAGTCTTAGACTGAGAAGACGGCAGGTCTTGAGATGCAGGTCGCTTCTTGGACATAGCGGACTGCGTCCCACGCTTATCCTCCGTGGGAACTCAGGTATGCCACCAGCCGGTGGCGAGTCGTCGGTCAACAGTTGACAGGGAATATTAGCTTCTGATCTATTAGCCATGACTGAAGATTGTTTGCGAGATTTATCTGCCTTCCGTCTAAAAACGGAACATAAATATTTATCAAAGGCAGAAATTGGTAAATTAATACATAATTTACAACGAGAAACAAAAGAACATGGAGTAATGCAACTAGGGCATTTTAAATGTGGATCAGTAGCGGAATAACGTAGTTTACAACCTGTGCAGATTCTCATTAACGTAAACTACTGAACAATCACGGCGAACCGTGAATAAACAGCAGAAACACAATTAATAATCAATGCAAGTTGAATAAGGATACTAGTAACACCTCTATACTAAGTATAAGAGGTACTAAACTAAATATAAATAAAGGATATAGTGTGTTGGGAGACACAGGCGCTCTCACGTCCAGCTCACTGGGCGAAGAAGGAGAGAGTGAGGCACATGGGTGGAGGTGGCGCCCTCGTTCCCGCGCTTGGGCAAGGGAGGTAACTCGTGGTGAGTACTAATTAGTGATTTCTTTATTGAAGGGAACTTCAATTGGGAGATACACGTGTTCCACTATGTTCGCAAGAAGAAATAGACAAGCAATAAGCATGAGTCAGGATAAGGAAAAATTATTGATATTATCAAATCTATTGCAATTTATTTAAAACATGTCTTCAATGCAAGAAATGTCACCACAATCACCACGTGCATATAATTGAAGCAAGTGTATTTGTACTATAGGCCTCTAGGCCCGAAATACTGAATAAAAAATGAATCTGAATCTGAAAAAAACAACTGACATGGTCGACATGCCCTTCTTGTTCACCCAGTCCATACATTAACTCACCTGTGCCCAGAGCAGGTACTGACATGGTCGACATGCCCTTCTTGTTCACCCAATCCATGCACTGACTCAAAACATGTGCCCATCCAGAGTTGGAATGCTGGGCCTTCACATGGGCTACCATCTTACATCTCAGACTACCACCGGAAGTCAAGATGTATCCATACTTGGCCATAAGATGTCCTGAAACACACCAAGAAATCATTCCACATGGACGTGTTGAACAACTGTTGTCGTACATGATTGACATTGGGCATGTAGTTAGTTCGCCTGCATGATTGGCCCTGGCAGTGATCCTTGTGTCTTGCTACTATACAATTACTCCTGGGTTTCCCCAACACCAAGTTTCCGTATGACTGTGCCCCCACATACCAACGACAGACGCTATGTACTTCTCAAACGAAGGTAAAGAACCACGTGTCATGACAAGTTTACTATAGAAATATGAAACAAGCTGGTGTTCTTAATCTTCGTTTGAGTAGTATGTCATAAACAATGTCTGGAGCGGAATATGCACGAATTCAGCCCCCAACTTCTACGGGGCACAACTAGCACAGTCGTGAAAGACACCGAAGAGATGCGATCCTTAGGCGTATCATGTGTGAGTGAGTGACTTTAGATTTAAGACGCTTTTAGCAATACTCCAGCAATATCCCCGGCGGGTTGGGGCACCTTTCATTCTTGGTTCGAATCCAAATTCCTCCTGATAATGTTTCCAGGTTGATCAGTATCATCACTACTTCAGGCCTACATCCATCATAGAAATTATCACACTGTCTTAGAACAGATATATTCAACCGCTACAAAATAGTGATACCCGGTGTTCATACACATCCATCAGAGACCAAGTACATTCTATTCCAAATATATGTTGTAATGTTTGACAGCGAGATGACCAAACTCACTCTTCTCGAAGCATTCCTGTTGTATGCCTGGCCCTGCTGCTCGCAGTATCGCCTTGGAGACTGCACCTGCACAACATAAAGACGATATTGTCAACAGCTTCCTGGACTCATGTGAAAGGTGCATTTACCTAGATATGTGAATAATTTAGTCATGTTGCCAGACAGATACTACACAGTGGTCACTGTCACATGACTCTCAGATGATCGTATTTACTATGACGTCACACGTCTCTAAGATGATCTGACAGTGACGTCATGCGTCTCCCACATGATCGGACTAACTGTGACGTCACAGTGCAATCGGATTGTCTGGTCACAAGACTCCCACATCTATGGACTTACTGTAAGTTAGGTCACATGATTCCTTGCAGCAGTTGACGATGCAGTCAGTGGTTTCCATGGTTACATCACCTTGCGCGATGACAACTGTGACTGTACCGAGTTTATAGCTGGAGCCAGTCGGGGAGCCAGAGTTGAACCCTGTGGAAAAAACAACGCTGTACTAGATACAGAAACAAGAGTGGCGTGTTCGAGAAAGTGTTTGCCATGTAACTTCAAGCCTACCAACTGACATACTCTACAGCAATCTGTATTGAGGTCACAATGCGACACAGAGTCTTTAATATTCTACAACATAATTCACTGGCCAGGTGTCTTTGCTTGTTGTTGGACAAAGCAATATTTACTGTCGACAAAACACCATAGAACTAATGATTTAATGATGAGGTGTACATTACCAAGGCATCTGAACGCAACATCTATTCTCAATGACATTTACAACATCCATGACTAACAGCATGTGATGCACAAATAAGTGCGACACCTACACGGGAACAAAGGACAGACAAAACGCTGATAGAGGGCACGATAAAGCTTACAATATCCTAAGTTACATCAAGATGTATTAGCTGACGATGTCGGGAAAGTATCAGCAAACGGGCGGAGTTACAGTGAAACCAGGGCGAGGTTACAGCTAAACCTGGGCGGGGTTACAGTGAACCTGGGCGGGGTTACAGTGAAAACTGGGCGGGGCTACAGTGAACCTGGGTGGGGTTACAGTGAACCTGGGCGTGGTAACAGTGAACCTGGGCGGGGTTACAGTGAAACCAGGGCGGGGTTACAGTGAACCTGGGAAGGGGTTACAGTGAACCTGGGCGGGTTACAGTGAAACTTGGGAGGGGTTACAGTGAAACTTGGGAGGGGTTACAGTGAAACCAGGGCGAGGTTACAGGGGAAACCTGGGGCGGGGTTACAGTGAACCTGGGTGGGGTTACAGTGAAACTTGGGGTGGGGTTACAGTGAACCTGGGGGGGTTACAGTGAAACCAGGCTGAGGTTACAGGGAAACCTGGGTGGGGTTACAGTGAACCTGGGCGGGGTGACAGTGAAAACTGGGCGGGGCTACAGTGAACCTGGGCGGGGTTACAGTGAAACCTGGGCGGGGTTACGGTGAAACCTGGGGGAGGCAGGCCTAATAAACGAGCCCTGGACAAAGTGGTCTGACTAACTGCACCACTGTTATGAGGAAGCTGTATTCATTGTGGAATAGTATTGTAATTGTGTCACATTGGGTCCGTTAAAACTTCTGAAGAGGGCAGTGGTGCACTGTTTAAGTGTGGTCAATAGACTTATATGGAACCCGTTTATTGGCTTGTTACCAAACCAATAGCACCTGATCAATTTAGTGAATGAGTTTTGTGAGTGAGTGAGTGAGTTTTGTGTGAGTGAGTCAGTCAGTCAGTCAGTCAGTCAGTCAGTCAGTCAGTCAGTCAGTCAGTCAGTTAGTCAGTCTTGCTTCACCTGCTTGGGAGGGGGACAGGTCTGATGCTGAAGCCTTATACTGTTGCTACTGTAGGTATTTACCCTTCACCGTGTTGAGAAGTTTACCCAATGCAGAGACCCCAGCTGGGGCTGATGACTCTTGTGTGGGGGCATCTGGTACATGGCCCCTCCCGAATGTGCGGTGCCTCCTGGAAGATCCCCATCGGCCCCTGGATGTAGTAGCCCGGGGGGCCCGGGGATGCGAACTGGCAGTGGAAGTCATCCAGTCCGTATCGCCATAGGGCCTCTGATGCTCGGCCTTGAATGCCTGACAAGATGTCAAATATAGGATATTACATTTACGATACGGACCTATACACTCTCATGTCATGGTTGTTGCTGCAGTTCAGCCTCTCGTACAAGTGGTGTAGGAAATCATTGCCTGTGATATGTTTGGCGTATGGACCGCCTCCGTCGTGTAGTGGTTAGAGCGTCCGCCCGGAGAGCGGAAGGTCGCGGTTTTCGATCCCCGACCGCGTCATACCAAAAGACGTTAAAATATGGTACTTGTTGGTCCCTGCCTTGCGCTCGGCATTAATGGGTACAACAAGGACTGGTCGGCTCAGAGTCAGTATAATGTGTCTGAGTGGGGTATTCATGCTTCACTGCGGCATGGTATCCCAGTGGGCTAGCACTATAAAACCAGCTTAAGTCTGGGCTAGTACAAGCAGCGAAATATTCTCAAGCACGACGTAAAACCCAATTTCACCTCACCTCATCTGTTTGGCGTATGTTTGGAACCTTGTTCTTTGAACATGTCTTCTATTTGGTTACATTTTGGTTACATTCTAGAATGCTATATATTTATATGTGTTATTTTGTGTTAATTCTTAGACAACAGTATTTAAGCTGTGATTAACACAACAACTTGCATCCCTGTTTACAGTCTTATCATGCTTGCAGAGTTATGTCCCCTGGGCATGCATCGAGTTCCAGTTTCGGCCTGGTTATGCTTCTACATCAACATTAACCTATACCATCTAAGAGGGCATCAAAGATCTGTCTCATACATCACTAAGGGCTTTCTTCTGGTGTCACCATTAACCTATACTCATCTAAGAGGGCATCAAAGATCTGTCTCATACATCACTAAGGGCTTTCTCCTGGTATCAACATTAACCAATACTCATCTAAGAGGGCATCAAAGATCTGTCTCATACATCACCAAGGGCTTTCTTCTGGTGTCAACATTAACCAATACTCATCTTAGAGGGCATCAAAGATCTGTCTCATACATCACTAAGGGCTTTCTTCTGGTGTCAACAGTAACCTATACTCATCTTAAAGGGCATCAGAGATCTGTCTCATACATCACTAAGGGCTTTCTTCTGGTGTCAACATTAACCAATACTCATCTAAGAGGGCAACAAAGATCTGTCTCATACATCACTAAGGGCTTTCTTCAGGTGTCACCATTAACCAATACTCAACTAAGAGGGTATCAAAGATCTGTCTCATACATCACTAAGGGCTTTCTTCAGGTGTCACCATTAACCTATACTCATCTAAGAGGGCATCAAAGACCTGTCTCATACATCACTAAGGGCTTTCTTCTGGTGTCAACATTAACCAATACTCAACTAAGAGGGCATCAAAGATCTGTCTCATACATCACTAAGGGCTTTCTTCTGGTGTCAACATTAACCTATACTCAACTAAGAGGGCATCAAAGATCTGTCTCATACATCACTAAGGGCTTTCTTCTGGTGTCAACATTAACCTATACTCATCTAAGAGGGCATCAAAGATCTGTCTCATACATCACTAAGAGCTTTCTTTTGGTGTCAACATTCACCAATACTCAACTAAGAGGGCATCAAAGATCTGTCTCATACATCACTAAGGGCTTTCTTCTGGTGTCAACATTAACCTATACTCATCTAAGAGGGTATCAAAGATCTGTCTCATACATCACTAAGGGCTTTCTTCTGGTATCAACATTAACCTATACTCATCTTAGAGGGCATCAAAGATCTGTCTCATACATCACTAAGGGCTTTCTTCTGGTGTCAACAGTAACCTATACCCATCTAAGAGGGCATCAAAGATCTGTCTCATACATCACTAAGGGCTTTCTTCTGGTGTCAACATTAACCAATACTCAACTAAGAGGGCATCCAAGATCTGTCTCATACATCACTAAGGGCTTTCTTCTGGTATCAACATTAACCTATACTCATCTTAGAGGGCATCAAAGATCTGTCTCATACATCACTAAGGGCTTTCTTCTGGTGTCAACATTAACCAATACTCATCTAAGAGGGCATCAAAGATCTGTCTCATACATCACTAAGGGCTTTCTTCAGGTGTCACCATTAACCTATACTCAACTAAGAGGGCATCAAAGACCTGTCTCATACATCACTAAGGGCTTTCTTCAGGTGTCACCATTAGCCTATACTCATCTAAGAGGGCATCAAAGACCTGTCTCATACATCACTAAGGGCTTTCTTCTGGTGTCAACATTAACCAATACTCAACTAAGAGGGCATCAAAGATCTGTCTCATACATCACTAAGGGCTTTCTTCTGGTGTCAACAGTAACCTATACTCAACTAAGAGGGCATCAAAGATCTGTCTCATACATCACTAAGGGCTTTCTTCTGGTGTCAACATTAACCTATACTCATCTAAGAGGGCATCAAAGATCTGTTTCATACATCACTAAGGGCTTTCTTCTGGTGTCAACATATAACAGGAACAATAATGGAAGAGGCATTAGACTGACTCCCTACCCCCAACCCCACTATCTACCGACAGATTACCTTCAACACAGCTCGGTCACTGGGATGCACCACGAAGTACACAGATTGTAGAGGAGATGCTGAGTGAGTGTCCTGGAATGTCCGGACTGTGCTGAACATGAGGTCGGCTGCAATGTCGGCTGGGAAGCCTTGTCGCCCAGTGCCCAGTGCAGGGAAGGCGATAGAGTTATACCCCCTGGAGTCCGCCTCCGTCAGACATTCTGTCACCAGAGTCCGCAATACCTGGCAACATTACGTTCCAAGTCAAAACATATTGTACAACCATTTGTGAACCGGGTTAGAACGCGATGTGAGAGATTATAACATCCATACGATACAACAACTGCATGTACAGAATCCCCTGTTTAACCTGAAGACGTATCTGCTGCTGGACGGGGTCAACCAATATAATAAAGCCGGTGTACAATGTTACGTGGTCACATGTGTAAATGAGAAACAGCAATATGCAGTTGAAACACTTTACATTATGCCAGTTTGAGCGTGTGTTTGGGAATGGCTCATCTTTGGAATAAATTCAAGGTCTGATTGACTGAACAGATTTTGAGTCAAAAGTAGACATATTTTAATTTGCCATATATACCTTCTCTGCCTTCCCTTTGCCATTATTCCATTTCAACAGCAAACCGTGGAAGACTGACTTGCACTGCAGATTGCCTCCCTTTGTTACCGCGACCTCACCAAGGTTGATACCTTCCTCATACTTCCGGTCACACTCTTCTTGTAGCTGGGGACCAGCTGCTTTGAGCAGAGACATTGACACGGCGCCGGAGGAAAGGTCAAGGTCACACTGAGCTGGACTCACCAGAACATCCGCCTGCATCAATGATGGTGACAATGACTTGGAGATTTAAAAATATCACGTTGTTCACAGGTCACTACATTACAGACAATACCACAACCCATTTACCATTATAATTCATGCTTGTTTTCAGAAACTCTCTCAAGTATAAATAGATTGTAATGTGTAAACCAGAGTTCAGGAGTCACAGCCTGATGGAACGTTACCCCGCTCAGTGTAGAATTATTCACTAGACACCTGATTTTATTTTACCTTCACAGACGCAAGTTCCCTGCTGACAACGTTGATACCGGGAGAGTCTGTATCACCATCATCGCTTGCTATGGATGTTGATTCTGCAAGTGTCAAGATGGGGGTTGTATAATGTAGTGTAAGGATCATACGACTTATTTCGGACATATCACTTTGCTTTGCTGCTTAACGCTGCAGCTGGATGACAGCAGTTTGTAAGCAATCGAACCTCGACCAGACAAACCAGTGATTGACAGTGTGAGCAACGCCCAACTTCCAGAGGTTATGATGACACGCCGTCAACCATGTCACTGAGTCGGACCACCTGATCTAATCTCATGTCACAGGATCACGATATGCTACTAGGGACCATATTGAATCCCGTATCCCCAGAATGTAGACAGCATAGGTTTCTGGGGACCAGTTCTAACTTCCAATGCCCTCGGTGTAGACCCACTTAGGTTTCTGGGGACCAGTTCAAACCTCCAATGCCCTCGGTATAGACCAACCTAGGTTTCTGGGGACCAATTCTAACCTCCAATGCCCTCACTGTAGACTAACGTAGGATACTGGGGATTAATTCTAACCTGGAATGGGCTCGGTAAAGACAAAAATTGGTTACCAGTGAACTATTCATACACTATTGTTCACTTTGAGCTGTCTATTTAGGATCTAATCAAGGTTTTATCGTGCACAGCTATATTTACCCCTGGTTGAATCTGTATCTGAGGCATCTTCTGAGTCCGATCCACTGTTACTGTAGTGAACAGGTTCTTCCTCCATAATACTTTCCTCACTGCTGTCAAAGTCACTGTCAGGATGATGGCCTCCGTCTTTCTCAAACAGCTTGTTGCCGATCTCCACAAACATGTCAACTGTGTTGGACTTGATGTCGCAGAGGTACACGTGTTGAGGGCCATCATAGTCCAGTGGGTCAGGCTGCCACATGCTGAGAAGGGCCTCCATGATCGCAGTGACAGCTTCCTGTACAGGGTAGCCAAATATACCTGTGCTGATGGCAGGCAAGGCGATGGATTTGATTTTGTTGGACTCAGCAACCTTGAGGATGTTCCCCACAGTCTCTTTCAGGACCTCCTGTTCTCCCTCGTCCCCTCCTGCCCAGACTGGTCCTACAGCGTGTATCACCACCTTACAGGGCAGGGTCCCTGCCGGGGGAACACACAGCCTCTCCATCCACCAGTTGGCCGTTATCCTTGATGTACCGGTCACAGAACTTCACAATAGCGCTTCCACCTGCATCACAATGATCAACACCATTTACTCAAGTGATCAGGTACTGTGTTCGGCACATTTTGTAAGTAAATCTCGTTTTGTATTTTCAGTCTGATATCAGTTCATCATACCCTGACAAAAATGTCCTGTTTAATCTCATAAACAAAAATATATATGGACGTATACAATGTTCTTATCAGTAGAAGGGAGCATAAGTTAGCATTGTTTAGAGTGACAACAAATTCTGATCATGTACGTAACCTGCAATAGTATATTTACACAAAATCAGTTTGTTAACTTCATTTATCTATCAATATTCATGCATTGGTTATGTGAGATGATGTGAGATGTGTGATGTGTGATGATGTTATATTTAACCGATTACTGCTAGTTTCATTCTGACAAACAATATCATGGATAGTCCTTGTTGAGATCTGAACAGCGGTCCTACCCTTATCCACTATGGCTTTAGCCACACCGCCTCCATGCTGTAAGTCCTTATTCGCAGCGTTCACTATAGCGTCCACCGCCAGGTCTCGCATGTCTCCAAGTATGACAGACAACACACCTCCTGAGGGGATGTCCCATCTTTTCATCTCTCGCATCTTCTTCTCCTTCTTTTCTGGAGACTTGTCCTTCGCTTCAATGATGCATTTCTCATTTTGTTCAACGGCTGACAGGAGCTCCCTACCTTTGCCCTTTACAAAGAACTCTTCGATACCAGGAAGGCAGATCTTATGCGTTTTGCTAAATATTTGAGAAATCATTTGATTAAGGCGCTTCTCAGCTTCAACAAAACCTTGCTGATATCCTGAAACTCTCAACTCACAACAGACGCTACCTTCTTCAACAATCACCTTCACATGATGTTTCTCCAGCTTCCCTTCCACTGAACGGATTTCGTTTGATTTGAACATATTTAAGAATTTAGCAGTGGAAGGTTCAAGGGGAAGTGATTTGGACCTTAACGTGTTCCTGCTGAAGAACTGCTCCACCTCCTCCCTGACGTGACCGCCTATATCGCTGGTGGACACGATCAGGAGCGCCCCCTTCTGGGGAACCAGCTCCAGCTTCCCTGGGTGGGCCTCCAGTAACTCTCCCCTCTTCTCCCTCCACTCTGCCTTACTCAACAGTGCCGATGTCAAGGTGTCTATAGCAACTGTTGATTCAGTTAAACTCGTATTGACAACCATTCTTCCTTTTTTGGCATCAGTTTCTGTTTCTGCACAGATCCGAACCTCCTTCTCACCTAATTCCCATAAACAATGGGCGTTTTTCAGTTTAGTTTGTATGAAGTCAGTTGTTTCATGAGATCCCAGAACTTTCGTGGCTTCCTGTGACTTGAAAGTAACAACTTCAAGCACTAGATTCTGAGCAACTTTCAGACATGCTAATTTTGCAGCAATTACATCAGCACTGGGACCTTCAAATGTAAAAATGCCTGTCTCAGTGTCGATTCTTGTAGTCACCTTCGGAAACCTGTCCTTAACCTTGGAAAAAGATAAGTATCTTGCCTGAAATTGTTTCAACTGGCAGCTTTCTGTCCTTGGTGGTGAAACAGGTTTTGCTGATTGTTTCACTTTCGAAATTTGAAGGTTACATCATCCACTTTCCCCTGAAGCCGCAGATGATGAGATCTGTGTTCTTCTTTCCGTGGTTCAGTCGCACTAAAGATGGGTTGCTCTTCAGGATGGGGTTGACTGCCTTGAGAATATCACCCAGCAAACATTCAGGCACAGACGTTCGCAAACATTCGACTTTCAGATATGTACTGACATATTCTGACACTTCTTTTTCAATGGTTGCTTTCCATGCACTACATGAATGTACAGGACCACTGTGTTCAACTAACAGCATCACTCTGTTTTCGGGCTGAGGGATAAATCTGACACTGCTATGTAAGGTTTCCTTCATATATTTCACAAATTCTTTCTGACCGGGAGCAGACTTCCACAGGAAATCCACCACATAGACGTCCAGTGTCTTAATGATCACTGATCGACTCATTCCTTCTGGAGGATCAGCTTGTCTGCCTGGCTGAGCTTTCCCAGCGACTTTGGTTGTAGATCTGCTGGTGGCTGCCGGCTCCTCGATGACACTGCGGTGATTTCCTCGGCCAGATGTCCCGGAAGACCGGCTGGATCTAGGTCCCTGTTGTGCACCTGTGTTCGCTGGTGAAGTGCCATGCGAGGGCTCATCCTTGCTTCCCCAAGGTTCCAGCAGCTCATGGTGGAATGTGACAACCACATCTGTCTTGTGTAACTTGTGGGTTCTTGCACAAACTCTCCTAGCAACTGTGAACGAAATGTTAAACAAATATGAAATACGGATAGTAGTGGAATACAGTATTTAGGATTACACTTTCTCAGTAAAGTAGAGGTTCAATTCACTCATTTCATTTGAGCACTTTCTGAATGTCATAGTGTATTCATTGTGTGGATCAGTTGTGTGTATTCACAGCATTCGACCATTGGAGCCGTACCAACTTACTCTTGTCAGAGGGGTACACAAACTCTGTGATCTACACAACCGATTGTCATTCTTCCACTTTTGGCATGTTGGCTAAAAGGGTTATATCGCTGACTTTATGTGCTAGCGATTAGCTGCCTCAGAGTGAGAGTGTGAGTTCGAATTCAGGAAGGGAAACAACCACCAAAAACTCTAGAATCTGTACATTACTAAGAAAGTTTAATCCTAAATTTAACAGTTGATCACTTTCTAAATAGGACTGTATATTATAAGGGTAATGCTATTTTTGAGGGCATTATCATTTGCAGAAGCCCGAGGTCTTCCATTAACAGTTGAAAAAGACCGAGGGCTTCTGCAAATGATAATGCCCTCAAAAATAGCTTTACCGTTATTATTGCTATAATACATGGAATTTGTGTTGAAAAGAAAAAGGAAACAATGAAGGAATCTGACTGTAAGTTTACCCAAAACAACTTCTGACGGGGTTGACTGACCGAATGCAATTGTCATCGAACAATTCAAGTGACGTCACAACAGAAAGTGACGATATTCGACCTTGGCCTTTGACAAGACCATAGCCTGCAACATGTCAAGCTATGACAGTGTTCGGTTTTGGTCCATCAACAGTCTTAATAATGCAATTGTTAAGGTTAGCACCAACAAGAAAGCCAATATTACCGCTATTTAAAGCGGGAATTTGGGTTGCTTTGACTTGTTTGACCTAAAATATCTGCCAGTCGAAAGCCACTAATGTCGAACTATGACGTCACTTGACAACAGAACTGATAGTGGCCCGTCGTTAAGGTTGAGCGGTCCAATATCATTTGCAGCGGACCACAAATTTCTGATAACGGGTTGGCCGTTTCATGATAATTCCATGTATTTTAGCTATAATCAGTAACAACAGTAGTATCAGTAGCAGTAGTAACCGAAGTAATAATAGTAGTAGTAGTAGGAGGAGGAGGAGCGGAGGATGCAGTAAATGTACCTTCAGGGTCATAGAAGTGTACGATTGCTCCGGTCCCGTCTGGGGAACGTGTGACAGTCCTGACGTCTCCTCCGTCACTCTTGCGTCTGTTCATGAAGTAGAACTTGATGCTGTCGTCCGTAGTGTCCTGCGTCAGGGACGTCACCTTTACACAGGCTGACTGCAACACGTGGGACACTTTCAGCCAGGAATCCTCAATCGGTCTTTTCATGAAACAGGACTTGAGTTCCCCAATGTCTGAAAGGAAGATGTTTCTGAGTAGTTATATAGTGTGGGTTCTATTACAGGGTACCCTATTGGTTTATTTTGGTTTAATTCCGCTCCCAGCACCAAGTAAAATTTTAGTCCTCGAGCGTGAGACATCGTTTGATGTTCCCCCTCTTATTGACAATACGGCTGTCTAGGCCTCGACGTATGGGGGGGTGGGGACCATCAAACGATGTCTCACACTCGGGGGATCAATTTTTACTGGGTGCTTGGAGCGGAATTAAACCAAAATAAACCAATAGGGTACCCTGTAATAGAACCCACACTATATAATTACTTTCTGACATTATTCATCAGTCATTACTGATTCCACTAGTCCCGAGATAAATGCATTGTGTTGACGTAAGGAAACTTATCGTACTTGGTGACAGGTCCCTTATCTTTCTGTAACATTAGCAGGAAAATTGTTTTTATAGATCTGGTTAAACTGCGGTTTAGTATTCAAGCAACATGCATGACATACATGTATCACGAACGTTACCAACGTGACTGATGTTTACATTACAGCAGAGTATTGGTCCAGCGCTTGTGTCTTTCAAAGATGATGTAATATCTCAATACAAAAGTCTAGCAAGAAATAGAAAATGTATAATGTAAACCAAACAAATAAGGAAGACAGCATGTCTATTTCAACGTATTAAATGTCTGATGGCAAAATTGAGCTGGCTTCTCCGGACAACTGTGTAGGCACCCTACAGTATGTAACTATGACAACGAAATCAGACTCATCAACCTGGCTTTTCCGTGAAGGTCACCAGGAACGACCCAGTACGTGCTCCTGGTAGTACAGCTTCAACTGACAACTTGGTTTTGGCCTCCAGGAAGTTCTGTATGACGTCCACTTGTGTCGAACTACTGGCGTTTTCAACAAGAACACGGAACTCGTCCTCAATTATCACCGGCTCAGCTTCATCTGTCAGCCACAATTTACTGCATTAATATTCACAATATATATGCATAATCTTAAATATATAATCGTGATTTGTCTTAAAAGTTATATTGGTAAAAATATAAAAGAAATATATTCTATATAGAAGCACATCTACTAATTTAGAGGAAGAAAAACGGTAACAGATTAATGAAAACCGATATCGAATTCAATGAAGCAGGAATATTGGACTTACTGTCAGATGAAGGCGTCGATGACGTTTCCGGACACCCAGTTTGATGAGGGAGAGGTTTGCTCAGGGAAGGGACTTCAGGGGAAGGGGATTGCATTCCATAGCCTGGTGAACCCCAGTGACCATACTGACCCATGGCGTGGGTGGGCATGATGTCGTGTGGTGGTCGAGCGGCTTGAGGGTAACCAGCCTCCTGCCGACCCTGTGTAGATGCTGCAGAAGGACCTGGGTGTAGGGTGGATGCCTGGGTACACATTTGTTGTTGTTGCATCGTGTGAGGCATAACAGATCCGGATGGCGGGTGGTGCCTATCATTTTCCGGTCCAGATGGTGGGGGGTGACCCTGATATTCCGGTCCAGATGGTGGGGGGTGACCCTGATATTCCGGTCCAGATGGTGGGGGGTGCCCCTGATATTCCCATCCAGATGGTGGGTGGTGCCAGTAATATTGCGGTCCAGATGGTGGGTGGAGCTTGTCATATCCTGGACCAGATGGTAGACTGCCCCTGTCATATCCTGGTCCAAATGGTGGATGCTGCCATTCATAGTGTGGCCGAAATTGTGGGTGGTGCCTGTCATATCCCGGTCCAGGTGGTGGATTGTGTCCGTCATATCCTGGTCCAGATTGTGGATGGTGCCTGTCATATCCTGGTCCAGATGGTAGGTTGTGCACGTCATATCTTGGTCCGGAAGGTGGGTTGTGGCTGTTATATCTTGGTCCAGATGGTGGGTTGTGCCCGTCATATATTGTTCTAGATGGTGGAGGGCGTCCGTCATATTCTGGTCCAGATGGTGTGTTGTGCCCGTCATATCTTGGTCCAGATGGCGGGTTGTGCCTGTCATATCTTGGTCCAGATGGCGGGTTGTGCCTGTCATATTCTGGTCCAGATTTTGGTCGAACTAGATTATGGTGATGGTGTGGGTACCCTACTTGGTGAGTGTTTATATCCGTGTATCCATGAGTAACAATGGGCACAGAAAAGCTGGAAGGCTGGGTGGGAAGCTGTGTTGAACAGATCTCTTGTCAGTCGTGGGTTCGGTGTGTGATACGGATGAATCTGCTTCTAGAGATAGTTTAACGTGAGAAAGATCTGCCACCTCCTCACCACCATCTCCTCCTCCGTCAACATCTCCGACTCCACATTTTCCTTCTCCTCCCTTAGCTCCATCTTTTCTGCCTCCACCATCTCCTCCTGTTCCACTATCTCCTCCACGGTCTCCTCCTACAGGCATGTCAGTAGATGGTTCTGTGGTCAAGGAGCCAGCGGCATCATACGTGTTCCCTAACACTTGAGTTCTACTTGCTTCACTCCCCACACCTTCAGTGCCTTGTAAGGGTACATGAGATGTGGCCTTCACTTTATGTCCTACTTCAGGATTTGCTTTCTCCCCTTCAGACATAGTGAAGTGTGTACTCTATGTCATCTGTGCTAGATACAGAGACACAGTACTGAGGGATGTGTAGTAATTCTCTACGCAGGGCAGGAATCGTCTCTCCGTACCAAACCAGTTGCTGCAGATGTTACCAAAGCCCCTGAAAATATACTTCCATCATTAGCATCTTTTAGCACAACTAACAAATGTCATGTGCTTGTGTTACTTGCAGTAAAGCAGTCTTATAATTGTACTGTATTCTTTCTGTTGGGATTGGAATGTTAGTTGCCATATTTAGAAAAATAGTCAAGAGAAATTAGGGGGAATTCAGCCTTTATAAACGATTTTTCTGAACCTTTTACCATGTATATAGAGGGGCAGGTGTTTGCCTCTGTCGCCTCACGTTACATCAAGACAAGCAGACTGTTTCATAAGATATCAAGTCAAGGTCTGTTTTAGACCTGCTTGACCATTGCTTCACCACTGCCGTTGCTACGTGAATGTTATTTCCAATAATATTGTATTTCATAATGCTGTTGTAATTCATTTGCTTAACACGTACTACAATGTTAACCCAGTTATGTTTACTATACCACTGTTAATTATAAGGAACATAATACATTTCTTGTTTCTTGGTTTCACACCGAATTCTTTTGTGTGCATGTTTCTATGTTAACACGGAAATGACACACTAAACGGGGGACACCAGTGGACGGATTATGTTCATGTGTGTCACTCACTGACTTGTTGAGACAAGATTCCTTCATAAGTTAACCAAGGCCACGGTCTCTCTGTGATAACAACGAATCATTGTCAGTATTTGCTGTGGCTTTCAGCTATCAAGAAATGAACAAACCGCTTCACTTGTTAGGAATATGTGACATTAAAACTGACTAACTCTGAAATTCTACACTTCTAACTTATCAAACATGTAATTAGATCCATACATATTTGGGACAAAATCAGTTGTGTGGTAATGCCAACATAACGGTGACCATGACATGAGGAGAAATCTCTATATCTATATCTGTAACTAAAATTGTGAAAATAATGTGATTCTCTTTCTGACAAATCATTGATTCGCCAGCAAATGACAATTGGCCTTTTCCCTGAATAATAGAAGTTCTCTATCCGTTCTCTTACTAGCATCTAGTAATGTTTATTTACACTTTGAGATGATTAAACTATACACAGTTCTATATTAAACGTTGCCGATATAACAAATTAGATCATTGATACATGTAAATAAAGGAATAGGGTCAAACCTTATGGGATGGGAGTTGGAAAAAGCATTCCTAGAATCCATGCCTAAACCGTAGTGTTACAAGTTATGTCATCATATTGGTAATTCCAATGGCTGAATATTCCAGGACGACGAAGAAACAATAACACTGATTGGACTAGGAATCAGCGGAAAATGTCAATAAATATTGATAATACCAGGTCAAACATATGCTTATATGCATTATTCTATTTCAAGGTTTACCAATGATTTACCTGAAACTCTAACAAATGTCAAAAGACTGTTTGCCGACGACACTTCAAATGGTGTTGCAGGAAAAGATGTAAAAACCATATAAGCTACTCTTAACTATGATTTAGCAAAATTGAAAGAATGGGTTGACAAATGGTTAGTTAAGTTTAACTCGAACAAGACCAAATTCATGCTTTATAAAAATGGAAACTGTCCACAAGTTCCTGACTTGATTTTCAATAATGAACATTTGGAACGTGTACATCAACATAAACACCTCGGTGTCATCTTTTCAGATAATACAAAATGGTTTCATCATGTTTCTGCTGTAATAGAAAAGGCCTCAAAAATTTTTCCTCATTACGGACGCTAAAGTACGTATGACCTAGATATACCCTTTCTAGTATGTACGAAATGTATATTAGGCCTATTTTAGAATATGCATCTGAGGTCTGGGATAATTGCCCTAGCTATATTTGTGATAAACTTGAAATGTTACAACTTGAAGCAGCAAGAATTGTAACCGGATTGCCTAAATTTGCTTCAAGATATAGTTTATACAGTGAAACTGGTTGGTTACCATTGAAAGTTAGACGAACACAAAGGAAACTCTGTACATTCTACAAAATTGTTAATATGCAAGCTCCCGATTACCCGATAGATTTACTTCCACCTTTTACTGAAACCATTTCCGGATACAACTTGCGTAACAAAACAGATTTGACTGTTCCTAAATTTCGCACCTCAATTCTAAAAAAGTCATTTATTTATGATTCTGCAAGTTTATGGAATGCTCTCTCCTCTACAACAAAATGTACAAATTCATTATCATCGTTTAAATCAAAGTTACCTGGAAAAAATGACAAGGTTCCAAAATATTTTCTATTTGGTGAAAGAAAGACAAACATACTACACACGAAGTTAAGACATTCGTGTAGTTCATTACATACAGAGCTGTTTTGTGTTAATCTATCAGAGAGTAGAGCTTGCAACTGTGGTGCTCCGGTGGAAGATGCTAACCATTTCTTTTTAAAAAAGTCCAAAATTTGTCAGCTGCCGTTTGATCTGAAGCAAGACTTTGAACTATCAAAAGTTCACTTAGACATTGATGCCATTCTTTACGGCAACCCTGCTCTGCCAAATACTATTAATGAAAATATCTTTAGACATGTGCATAAATACATTGTACGAAGTAAGCGCTTTGATTAATCAATAATATGTCTTAATATTATTATGCCCATTCATTACGTCCATTCATTATTGTTCATATTTCTGATGGGAGCGGGCGGTAATAAGTTGCATAACTTGTGCCCAATCCATTTCAACACTGAATAAAATATTTTCAAACAAACAAACGGATATAAGCTAAAGTAAATTTGATTTGAATGTGCCATGTGACTTCAAATGGAAACCCCTTAGCTTGATAACGGTGCAAGAATCCACGCCCGAAACGTCGTACAATTAAACAAGACGTTGTTATCAATAAAGTCGTAGGCTTCATTATTGAGAATTTGCGCTTTGGATCATATCGCGTACGTCTATAACATATTCGATGAGAGGTATGACAAAATATTGATGTAATGATTTATTACTTATAGGGCTGGGACGGGTAACCCGGATACCCGGGACGGGTGGGTAATGATTTGTACCCGGGTACCCGTCTCAATACCCGGACCCATTTTGATCATGTAACTAACTGATTAAACAATGTAATATGTTATTCTTTCATAATTAAAAAGTTTTATTGTCTTTGAAGATTTAGTCATAATTACAGTCACTTCTTTTGAATATAATACATGGTTAAGGTACTGAAAAACTCGAACTTTTAGTCTCCGAGCTGAAAAATCTGTTGCTCTTTCTTACATATTTGATGTCAGGAATTAATATAACGGGTATCCGGGTAGGGAAGTGTAATAGGGGCTGGGGGACCCGGGTTGAAAATTTGGACCCGTCCAATTGTTTGCCGAACAAAGCTCGCTCCAAGCACGGCAGGGCATTCACACGCGGTTACCTCCCTTGGACAGAAGCATATGTGGCGCGGAGCATTATTTCCTGCTTTGCTCGCTTGTGTTTTAGGGTTGTACTGCCCTGGGTGTCTAAACTTTCACTACTTGAGCGATCATATTAGACTTTCGCTTCATAAATACTCATTTTATTCCGTCTGTAGGACATCGAGTGCTCATTGTCACATCGCTTACACCACTAATACCCCTACATGTCAACGTTATATAAAATTTATACCATACACAATTTAACATTATGTCATAATTCTGATAGCACTGTTAGTATCCAAACTAATTACGACGACTGAAGGCAGACTGCATATGCAATCTCGTACCTGCACGGGCACTGTACATCTGTACGGTAAGATCCGCTGTGAAACAATACACCATTCTCAGCCAATCAGCGGATGTTGTACACCTCCCTACTGTGTAAGAACTCACCTGTCTAACCGCCCGATCACATGATAAGGACGACTACTCGGATGTCCACGACATCTAATGGTGTCTTATGTCCTTTCTCTTGCTGGCACGTCTGGATTGACAGCTCTGATTCTGGGAAGTACACGTTTGGGGATGACGTCACAAAAAATCCTACTTTCGGTTTTACTTACACCTGTTAAGACTTACTGACAGGGAAAGCCACACGTACGTTGTCCATACGTACGGAGCATTTTAGTCAGCTGTAGATATGAAACATCATTTGATTTTTTTTATACAACAGTACAAGTTGTATGGATGTATTCAGTTATATAATATTTTGTAAGTTGAGTATTTTACACCTTGATTTATTGTTTGTTACAAGATCACGTAGATAAAGTTCGTGTACACTGTTAGCTGATGAATTAGCCCAAACTACAACAACAAAACACAATTGAATACATCTGTGATTGATTTCATACAAACTGCAGTGATTGATTATCATTTATGGAAGCGGCATCGCTTAATTTAGTCCTCGCCTCCCAGCTGATCGCGGAAGTTGGTTTCAGGTGTTTCACACCGGTGTCATGTCTCTCTGGTCAGCCGAGACACCTGGCAGCTGTGTCTATGAAGGCCACGGTTCTTGAACATTCATTCAGGTAGATAATTAGGATGAACAAACAATTCATCAACCTATTGTCGTCTAATCCTTTGAACAAGGTATGTAGTTTTTACATGGGCGTCTAGATGCAGATGTATTCCGCCTGCTTTTAAATTAGAAAAATAACAGTGAAGAATAGATCAACATATTATCGATTAGTCCTTTGTTCGATGTTTTTCTTTTGCAACTGCACGGACCGACCATTCCTGCCATGTTACTTAACATACAATACATTTAACGCTTTAGACCTGAATGTACAACCCAATCCTAGACAAAATATTTACCGCCAGATAATAGAAATGCCAAACGAGAACAAATACTTGCATGATATCCTTGACATCATCAGATGCAAGGGTCGACAATGTCGATTATTTGGCATAAACTTTGTTTTGCCACTACTAATTAATACTTGCGCTATCATTAACTGAATATCATGTGAATGACGTCACAGATAAAGGGTCTATACAATAAACCACTGCTAACAACAAAGGAGTAATGCTTGTTGAATTATATGCATTTGCTTCAAAAGTAAGGGTCGTTGTACTTTAAAGCATTTTTACCAAACGTATACCGACACGTACTAGCTGTATCCTGAGGTACATGTGGTACATATATAATAGCTGTATCCTGAGGTACATGATGGTACATATATAATCACACACGTACCAGCTGTATCCTGAGGTACATGATGGTACATATATACTCACACAGGTACCAGCTGTATCCTGAGGTACATGATGGTACATATATACTCACATACAAGCTGTATCCTGTGGTACATGATGCTACATATATACCCACACAGGTACCAGCTGTATGAGGTACATATATACTCACACACGGTATCCAGGGGTACATGATGGTACATATATAATCACACACGTACCAGCTGTAAGGGGTACATATATACTCACACACGTACCAGCTGTATCCTGAGGTACATGATGGTGAGGGCTCACACACGTACCAGCTGTATCCTGGTACATGATGGTACATATAATGGGGTACATGTGTAGTACATATATACTCACACACGTACCAGCTGTATCCTGAGGTACATGATGGTACATATATACTCACACACGTACCAGCTGTATCCTGAGGTACATGATGGTACATATATACTCACACACGTACCAGCTGTATCCTGAGGTACATGATGGTACATATATACTCACACACGTACCAGCTGTATCCCGAGGTACATGATTGTACATATATACTCACACGTACCAGCTGTATCCTGAGGTACATGATGGTACATATATACTCACACAGGTACCAGCTGTATCCTGAGGTACATGATGGTACATATATACACGTACTAGCTGTATCCTGAGGTACATGATGGTACATATATAATCACACACGTACCAGCTGTATCCTGAGGTACATGATGGTACATATATAATCACACACGTACCAGCTGTATCCTGAGGTACATGATGGTACATATATACTCACACACACACACATGATGGTACATATATACTCACACACGTAGCCAGTACTGTATCCTGAGGGTACATGATGGTACATATATACTCACACACGTACCAGCTGTATCCTGAGGGTACATGATGGTACATATATACTCCACACACGTACCAGCTGTACCAGCTGTATCCTGATCCTGAGGTACATGATGGTACATATATACTCACACACGTACCAGCTGTATCCTGAGGGTACATGATGGTACATATATACTCACACACGTACCAGCTGTATCCTGAGGTACATGATGGTACATATATACTCACACACGTACCAGCTGTATCCTGAGGTACATGATGGTACATATATACTCACACACGTACCAGCTGTATCCTGAGGTACATGATGGTACATATATAACTCACACACGTACCAGCTGTATCCTGAGGTACATGATGGTACATATATACTCACACACGTACCAGCTGTATCCTGAGGTACATGATGGTATCCTACCAGAGGTACATGATGGTACATATATACTCACACACGTACCAGCTGTATCCTGAGGTACATGATGGTACATATATACTCACACACGTACCAGCTGTATCCTCACACGTACCAGCTGTATCCTACATGATGGTACATATATACCAGATGTATCCACATGATGGTACATATATAATCACACGTACCAGCTGTATCCTGAGGTACATGATGGTACATTATACTCACACACGTACCAGCTGTATCCTGAGGTACATGTGGTACATATATACTCACACACGTACCAGCTGTATCCTGAGGTACATGATGGTACATATATAACACACACGTACCAGCTGTATCCTGTACATGTGGTACATGATGGTACATATATACTCAGACACGTACCAGCTGTATCCTGAGGTACATGATGGTACATGTATACTCACACACGTACCAGCTGTATCCTGAGGTACATGATGGTACATTATACTCTCACACGTACCAGCTGTATCCTGAGGTACATGATGGTACATATATACTCACACACGTACCAGCTGTATCCTGAGGGTACATGATGGTACATATACTCACACGTACCAGCTGTATCCCATGATGGCTGGATACTCACACACGTACCAGCTGTATCCTGAGGTACATGATGGTACATATATACTCACACACGTACCAGCTGTATCCTGAGGTACATGATGGTACAATATACTCACACACGTACCAGCTGTATCCTGAGGTACATGATGGTACATATCCGTTCATCCTTTTTCATTAGTTTGTGAAGAGTTATACCCCTTTGTTTACTTGCTAGCAGACGACATTTTCAGTGATCCTCAGTATGAATGATTTGGAGAAGAGGAAGTTGATTTTAGAGTATTATAACAAGGACATCCGATCAGCTAAAGTGATTTCAAATAGAACAGGCATCCCTTTGTCCACTGTCTATCGTGTTTTGAAATATATTGCAAATGGATATGGCATTGAGCACCAGGGAGGCGCAGGTAGGCCCAGAAAATTGACTGTCGGTGACAGGAGGCGGCATTGGTATTCTTGTTTCTAAAAACAAACGAAAACTTAAGGCTGGATTTGATTGATAGAGGAACTGTGGCTGTCTGTAAGGAGACAATTAGAACTGAGCTGCATGCAGTGGGTTGGCAGAAAAGTCGAGGAATTCCATCACCGATCATGAAACCTGACAAAAAGGAGCGAAGGTTGAACTGGTGCTTACAGCATAGGAATTTTAACTGGGACAATGTGATTTTCTCAGATGAAAGTTCTGTGTGGCTCTTTCCTAATACACTGAAATTCTGGACCAAACAAACTGAAAAACCTTTGTATCAGCGCCCAAAGTACAGTCCGATTTAACGTGTGGGGTGGCAAATCTGTGTTAGGGGCAACGCCCCTCTGTGTATTTGAAGGGATTATGAACAGTGAGCGGTACACAGATATTCTCGAGGGACATTTACTTCCATCTGCTCACGTGTTCTATGGAAATTTTTTGATTTTCCAGCAGGACAACGACCCAAAACATCGTTCAAAGCATTCACAGGCCTGTTTTCGAACCTAAAATATGACATTATTACATTGGCCAAGCTATAGCCCTGACCTAAATCCAATAGAAAATGTTTGGGGAAGGAAAGTGTCTATAATTTTTAATTTGTGATTTTGGTAATTTGTTTTCAAATGGTATTTTTGCGTTACTTACGAATAGAGTTGTCAACTAACGAAATAAAGAAGTTGTTATCCATAAAAACTTGTTCCATATTTTTAATTTGTGATTTTGGTAATTTGTTTTCAAATGGTATTTTTTTGCGTTACTTACGAATAGAGTTGTCAACTCACGAAATAAAGAAGTTGTTATCCATAAAAACCTGCTCCATATTGTACGTCTCAACTTCTAAAACGCCTCTGAAACAAGTTATCACCAAGATGTTGTCTCCCGTCTCATCTATGATGACTTTCAAATGGAACACATGTCAAGGTAGCTAACTCCACCAATCTTGAATCTTTGAATGTGATCAGTTGTTGGTACTTGTAGGTAACATTTGGTAGTTAAGATTTACCTACGAATACAGGTTATTTTGAGTGATATGTTCGTAAAAACAGCACAGAAAATGTTCAGATGTGGCACACGTATATCTTGTGGCCCTTTGAACTTGAACCTAGGATATCATTCACTAATGTGTTCGTCTGTGGAAACAGCAACATATTTAATGATACTTGTAGGCAACGTGATTTCTTTTACCAAATCAAACTTTGATTTTCTAACATTGTTTTTGGCTCTTCTGCACCCTTCAAACCTTCCTGCTGGTACCGCAAAGTGGATGACACCTTCGTCATCCTCCAACCTCAGCAAGATCCAAAGCAGCTCCTTGCCCATCTCAACAACCAACATCCCCGCATCAAATTCACCATTGAAACAGAGCAGAACAACCAACTACCTTTCCTTGATGTCCTTGTATCCCGCACCTCCTGCAACCAACTCCAGACCTCCGTGTACAGAAAACCTACCCATACGGATCAATACATCCACTACAACTCCAACCACCCCCCTAAAGTCAAGA